TTAATAGGGTATTTTGATTCAAAACAAGATGGTATTACTTTATACCATGGTGTGCTGGACTTCGAATCAGGGGATAGCAAGTTTGAGTCCCATTGCAGTCAGCATGTCGTTGTGTCTCCGGGGTTTGCCCACAGTATTGAGTATGTAAGTCGCTTTGGATAAAAGCGTCTAACAAATGACATGTAATGTAATGTAATTTGCAGATCATGTATTTGATAACTTTGTGAGTTTAAATCCAATATTCAATCTCCTTGTAGCTCTGCTTGGGTCACCACCGACTCCTCAATTCACCAACTAGTTTGTTACTTTGTCCGTCTGCATTTTGTGCGTCTAAATTCCACAAAGAGGCAATCGGTGCATCTGAGAAATATTTGTATTCTCCGGGATAAAATCTTTAAACTTTAAACATGTAGGTCGTCTTAAGTAGGTTAAAAGTATCTCCGTACAAACTTCAGTGTCTTCAACGAATGATTGATTTACCAAGAATCTGTACTGAGATTAGTTTCAGAATTACATTACACACCTTCAACTATTTTCCACCTTACTTTTTCATTTGCAAATCAAAACATTTGTTGAATAATTTTACAAATGTTTTTAAAATTACATCCAAAACGTTTTCCCTCGCTGTGACTGTTATGCACTCATTGACCTCACTGATTGGATCATGAAGAAGCCCATGAACCACTTCTCACGCTCTTATGACTGCTGACAACATGTCACACCATAAATACAAATCCAAATCGTGTCTTTGGTCTTTAAGTACCACTGTAAACCCAACTCCTTGGATTCTTTATGTGTCATATCGAAGATAAATGTCCTTGTTAAATTCATGTTGAGACATTTTTATTTGGTCTTTTGTGATAAATTGTTATCATGTTTTCTCACAATCAACACAATAAGGTGCTGAATTCAGTTAATAATGCTAGAAATAATGTTCTTTGTTGCATAAACAACGATAGAGAGGGTCACAGTTTACAGTCCGAAGTATTTAAGAGCTGAGGTGAAAGCTTGTCTCCATTCCTGACTGGAATAACATGATGTAAGAGAGGGGCAAGTGTCTTATATGAAGAGTTGTATCCCTAAAGAGACTCTTCAGTGTTGTTTATTAAAAAACTTTAGGATTTCAATGAAAAGATACCTTTGAATGTTGACTGTAGAAAATGTAGTTTATGTGTGTGTTGTTTACTATAACTCATTGTGGTTATGTCTGTTGAATTCAGCCGTGCAGGGGTAGTTACATAATTGTGTAACCTTTTCAACATTTCAACAGAAACAGCCAAGGCCTACAGGGAGCAATGACTCTGTTTCATGTAGATGTCTCTAATTTGCATACCTACAAAATGAAGAAAACAGGGGAAAAAACTGTCTGGTTCATGATTTTGAAACTGGGATGTCAGGCCTTGCTGGGTCAACCTTCATTGCACAAGTTGTCCCATTAGATCAGTATTTTACAATAATGTTTGTTATTGTGACGGGCCAATGTTTGCTCTTCGGTCAATGACATCCATTCTGTATAGCTCTACAAAAGACCATGCAAATTGTTCTTTTAGTTATTTTATGCAACGTCAAATAGTATATTTGCACAACCTCAAATGTACACTGTGCTTAATTCATGTTTTATCTGGATTTAAAAAGCAAACATGCTTGATAATCTGGTGAGCAAAGTCTAAAATCAGGGGTATGGAAACTGTATTTTGCCCTGTGTTGTGGGCATGTTTAAACTACATCTCATGTCAACATGCACCCAAAAGACCAAACTGCTCTTCTGAGGGTCAAGCATCCAAAAACAGTTAAGTATTAACTGTCTATAAAACTCAAAAGAAAGACTGCATGAAATACAACATCTCTGGGTAATAAAATAATGATTCTGACAATGTCATAGGGGTTTAATGCTAAAGCGTTGCAGAACTCTTTGGATAAGATAGCTGCACAATTTACATTTTCAAACTTCCAATTGATAGAGCAGGTAAGAAGACATACAGGTACATTTATGTGGATGTGGTTTGACATGTTGTTCAGAAACCAAGCATGAACCTATTGAAGTCTGGCTTCCCCCCTGGGTGCCGGCATGCATTTGTTTGGCCCCTGTCCCTCACACACCATGAGTCCGCCCCTATTTGATGTTTTGCTCATGTGACTTCTGCAGCTGACCAGTCCTTACGGAAACAATTAAGTGTGACATGATCAATGGTGTCACAAGTTGCTTTAAGGTCAAGAAGGAACAATATAGTCAGCAGCTTCTGAAATCCCGTCTGTCAACTGACCAATTAGTATTGGCAAATAGAAATTATGCAAGATATCACATAAGAACTTTCTCCATAATATCCAGAGCAACTTGAGGATTGGTGTAAAATGTTGTAAGACTGAATGTAAGGTCATGACCTGTGAGCAGACATGTTGACACACTTCAAATGTCCATCCTGAAAGTGAAGTTCATGTCTCTAGAGGGGTGAAATGTTTATCTCGGAAGATATCATATCAGGTCAGGACTTCACCGTGTGAGAAATCTCAGATTGCGTTATCGCCGGTCAGCTTTGCAAATGACATCAAACACGGCATATGACTGTTGTGGAATGCATGTCGATATGCATGACAAGAAAAAAGTGGTAGGTTTCCGCAAGATCTAATGACCAACGTGTTTAAGTGTGATGTCATGGAAAACCCTTTTTGAAAGAAAGGAAAAGTTGACACGAAAGATTTCTGTGGGACTTTACCATCAACATCTACATTAGGTGAACCGTTAGTAACCTTTTTTTGACGGTACAGTTTGGTTGTAAAAACAGGTGGATGTGGGCCGCGTGTTGCCGTCAGATGGCCCCCATTCATTGGCTGTGGCGTGTTTGCTATAACCGAGGGGAAGGGTGAAGAAGTTGGCGGGTCAACGCCTTCCAACGCCTTATCAGACTAAGTTAACAACTGCCCTTAAACACAACAAGAGATATCAATTTTAGAGAACCCAAACAGTCAGATGGGGTACTTGGAAAGAAATCATAATACACACATTGAGTGACGGCTGTTCGACATGTCAATGCCAAACAACAAATCAAGGTCCAGAGACGTCAGGCTGTATGTTGTGATCGAGGCTCGCCATTGTTTTGGCTGCTGGGAAAAGCCATGATGGACCCTCTTGCGTGTGTATTTACCTGTAAGTCCTAAAGAATGTCAACCAAAGCAAAGGACAACAATTGGTTTATGTTAACTTGCGTAACAATGATTGACCTTCAGTGTATGTTTCACCTTTGTTCATCTGGGAAAATACACAATTCTGGTAATGGATTTAAGAAAAATAGGGGGTGGTGTGTTATGTAATCTGTGTCAGTGACCACTGGGATTTGCAGCAACATAAACACATGTTTCACATTTATTGCGGCGCATTGAGTACAGTACATTATGTCCAAGTGGCAATCCAAGTGTGTTATAAAATATAAAATGTCCTGCAAGTTCATTGTGGGGCAATAAATGATCCGATCAAAAGAATGCCGTGTTTCTTTATGACTTAATGGATTATAACCTTCCTCATTTACAACACACACAGGATGTTTGAATGAAAAGTCTTACTGGAACAATTGCAAAATCAAACTTCATAATGCAGATTATGTTTTCCCTGCAGTTGCATGTATGTTCAAGTAAACGTTAAAGACATATTGTGATATTTGAAGTAACATAACATCTACAGGTCAGTACTGAAGTAGGGTTTGTAAATAAAGCAGTCGTGGAAGAAGTATACAGATTTTTTACTTCAGTAAATTAAGCCATTATACAATGTGCAAGTATTCTCTTGAAAGCTATGGAGTGGAATATAAAGACAATTATTTAGGTGTTTTAAAATATGCATGTGTTGTTATATATGTCATAAAATACGGTGAGAACAGAAGCTATTATTTCAAGGACACTTCGGAGACGTGATGTTCAAAACAAAACCTGAGTCATAGTACACCGGGAGGGTTAATAAAATAATAAAAAGCTGATAGATCATTGCTGAATGGGTGTGGCAATCATTTCCTGTTGAGTTTTATCACTATTATCTGTGCATGTTGAGATGTTTAATGTAAAGAAATGTATTGGGAGAAATACTTTACTCACAAAATGTCCATCGATTACTCACAGGAAACTCTGTTTTAAATCGCATACCACGTTGAATGAAGAGTGAAAAACTGAGAAAAAGTCAAACGCTTGCTAAGGCCTGCTTCCCAAAGTATTTAAAAAAGTAAATTATAATAATAAATTGAATGTATATAGCGCTTCTCATCTGCCAAGATAAATCCCGAAGCGCTTAGGGATATTGTGAAGAAGTGAGCATGCAACTGGATAAATTAGACCTGGATTACATGCACTACTTGTATAAGAGTTCCTACAAAGAATTTCCTATAATAATTAAAGATAACAGTAATTTATATAAAAGTGGACACTATGTGGGTGAAGTGTTCCTTTAATCTTCAATATTGCATCCTATATTGTTCATTGCATCAGATGTATCCATCTGCAAAAATACCTGAAATGTCAGACAAATGTAAGATTAAAGTACAATACTTGTACAAAGTAAAATAGGTTGCATACAATACTTAATTAAGTTGCTCAAACTCGGTGACTAGTTGACTAAAGTAAAAGTGTGTTGACACATCTCATAGAACATCACAAGGACACATAACTCACGTGATATTCAAAAACAAATGGTAGTCATGCTGAAAATGCATATTATATATAGGAATGTACCTATAAAAAGCTGATTGATCATTGATGAATGTATGTTGGAATCAGTTCCTGTTGACAATGGTTGTAGAGGATGCTGAGAACAATGAGGGGACTGTATTGAGGGCTTTTGAGAATAACAGACCCATACATGTCGTCTTCTAAATTGCACTCTGTTTTGAAGGTGTGTGTCCACAGCCAATGAGGATGCAGCATTCACATGCGTCACTTTGAGCAGCAGGGTGTGGGTGTGGGGGAGGGGGGGGGGGGGGGGGGGGGGACTGTGCCTATAATAAACCCAGTGACTGCGCCTTTTCTCCACAGACAAGTGAGAAGAACTCGAGACTACAACAGGACTCCGAACCACAAAAACTCTTTTTATAAAACGTTTTTGTCTTTCCTATTTTTTTACATTCTGAACAGCAGGGCTCTGAATCTAAGTTTTTGCCGCTTTGGAATTTGATTTTCTGTGCTTAAAAAAGGGCACATTTACAATTGTTTCTTCCCTCATCTGACACTTTTTCAATCTTCTGCAATGTTTCCAGAGTCAAACAAAGGGTGAGTACACTTTTGTACAATTTACAGCATTTTGTTTCCAATGCTGCTGAACACATGGCCCCTTCATGGGGCTGTCGGCAAAGATATATACCGGTTTGGAACAGAACCAAAACAAATCAAACACGTGCTCTCTGGACAGCAACTGTTTAAAGAAGAAATCGTAATATTTGTCCTGAAGGAGTCCATAAAGTGTTGCTTTACACTTTGTATCACTTGTACTCGTTAGGCCAAAAATGATATCAATATTATTTGGTAGTGGTGTTCATAGTAGGTTCAGTATCAGAGTAATTTATTAATAGCACAGTCTCGTGAATCATGCTTGGGATTGTGTAGAAACAGCTTGTCATATGAAAGGTATTACACAAACTGTAGAATTAAAGGAATCAGCGATAGTTATCAAATAAGCAAGCAAAAAAAGATTGTGCGTGTTGCCATTTCATTGTATAAAAGGTGATACAGCCTGTGACTGCAGGAATGTGTGTGTGTGCATCTCTTCAAACACATCCTTATTAGTAGCCGTTCTCAGATCAGGCTTGCTGCCAAGAAAATCCGGTAATCTGATTATAATGATCACATCACATGATACTAAATGAATCAGAAGGTCAAGCTCGGTGGAACAAAAGATGGTGTTTGCAGTCAAACTGACCTTAGAGTTTATTTTTGTGTCATCCAGCTGGAGCTACGAGGACTGCAAGGCCACTGCTGATTGGCTGCTGGCCCAGACCGATGTGCGGCCCACGATTGCCATCGTGTGTGGCTCTGGGATGGGAGGGCTGGCTGACATGTTAAAGGACCAGGTCGTCTTCAACTACAAGGACATCCCCAACTTCCCACAAAGCACCGGTGAGTTCAGCTACAACAAACACCTCAGAAACAAATTGGTTCCCCATTTGGCGTTCAAACTAAGTGAATGTTTTTTCTTCCTGCAGTGCACGGACATGCAGGCCGGCTGGTGTTCGGCACCTTGAAGGGGCGGCCATGCGTTTGCATGCAGGGGCGCTTCCACTTGTACGAGGGCTACCCAATCCAGAAGGTGTGTGTGCTGAAGAAAATAATCCCATGAAACCTATAAAGATGGTGAAAGATCCTTTAAACCCAAGTCCCTTCTGGTTGTATAACATTCATGTGTGTGTTTCCAGATCACGCTGCCCATACGCATCTTCAAGCTGATCGGTGTGGAGACGGTGATGCTGACCAACGCAGCCGGAGGCCTCAATCAGGACTTTAAGGTTGGAGACATCATGATCATCAGAGACCACCTCAACATGCCGGGCTTCGCTGGCAACAACCCGCTGGCCGGACTCAACGACGAGAGGTAGGAAGTCCTGACTGCCTTTCAGACATTCAACAGTATCACTATGGTCTTTGCCCGATTCTAAACCTTCCATTTGTTCCTCTTCGCGCAGGTTTGGAGTGCGTTTCCCCTGCATGTCCGACGCCTACGACAGAGATCTGCAGCAGATGGCCATGGATGTGGGACAGGAACTCGGCTACGGAGACTTCCTGAAGGAGGGTGTCTACTGCGTGTTGGGCGGACCCTCATTCGAGACCATCGCCGAAGCCCGTATGCTGCACAAAATGGGCGCTGATGCTGTCGGTAAGAAGTGTTTCATGGATTATTACATGGATTTTTTTCGACTAAAACTGAATTTTCTATAGTTATAGTACATGGGCAGCATTGGTGCTTTTAAAGCTGTAGAAACGGTGGCCATTTAAAATTATTTTTTCCGATATGGAGAAATCAAAACTATAAAGCTTAGTAAAGTAAAGTAAAGCTAGCTATAATATTTCTTCTTGTGCGGATAAAAGCAAGACATCACATAACATAGCATGGTTTCTATGTAGTTAAAACATGTTATACTTATCTGTCCTCTCCAGGCATGAGCACAGCCCCTGAGGTGATCGTCGCGCGTCACTGCGGCATGCGCGTCTTCGCCCTCTCGCTGATCACCAACAAGGCGGTGATGGACTACGACAGCGAAGAGAAGGCCAACCACGAGGATGTCCTCCAGACGGGCAAGCAGCGAGCGGAGCAGCTGGAGCGGCTGGTGTCCACCATGGTGACAAAGATCGAGCACAACAACAACTATGCCTAAGAGACGCCGAGCCAGACAGACGCTAGATTTGAACCTTTCAGTGTGACTGAAGGGGACTTAAAGTGGTTGATATTTAATGCTATGGTACCAAATATCCAACTTAGTTAAATATTTAAGTGAGCAGTGAGGCTGTTTTTAGTCTTAGGTCAAAAGAAGATAATATTGTCCTTTGGAGAACCTTACTTACATATCAACAGAAATACAAAACACACACACAGCCTTTGTTTTCATGCCTTAACAGACGTCTTACATTCCTCTATCGAGCGGCTCCAGAGGAAATGTTTATTTTATATCATTTTGAGACTTATTTGTTTTAACTTAAAATATGTGATCAGTTTGTGTAAATGTCTGCAATTTAACTTAACAATGAGCTCAAAAATCTGTTATTTTGATGTTGTTGAAATGTGTTCATTAGTGGACTTATAGTATTTTAAGGTGTTTTTTCATATGAATGTTGTTACTAAAAAAGTACTATTTATTACTAAATTGAGTTTGCTTGTGTCGTTCTTTGGGGTGCAGAGGAAAACGTATTTTCTTTGATTAACACATCACACAATAAACTGAAAAAACTGAAAACCGCTGACTTTTATTAAGTGTTTTATGTCAACAAATCTCACGTAACTGTATTAGGTTAGTTGAAAGCAATAACATATAAACATAAATATTATGTTCAACTTAATAGTATTGCTTTCAACTAACCTTATACAGCCTAACCTAATTTGTTGACATAAAACATTTAATTAAAGTCAACAATTCAGTTTTTTCAGTGTACGAATATAATAACATAACTCAGACTTAATATATGAAAAATGAATGGATATCGAACCAGAGACTCGTAAAATCCCATTTATTTGCAAAGTGTGTATTGAAGTTTTACAGAGACGCTACACAGTAAGCCAATGTATTGCATGATGATTGGGTCCAAAAGGGCCCAGAATGTTGCCAGTGTAAACGTTAGGTAATGTTACATAAGCATTACGCTGCAAAAACTGAAGACAGGAATGCTGGCATTGTCGAAGTATTAATCAAATATAAGGGTTTGGTTGTCACTTTTTGATTAAATGTTTCAAATTCTTCGACTTACAAAAGCACTGAAATATTTGGCAGAACAAAGTATTTTGGTATTTGAAACAACTCTGGTTGATAAGATAGTAAAAACACTTAACATGTGGATCCTCCATACTTAAAACACTTAACTTTCTCCCCAAAAGTGACATATTATTTTGGAATACAAGCCTTCATATAAAACACTTGCTCCCATTAAACAGAAACTAGGCAGGCAGACAATATATGACATTCCACACTGCATGCATACATCTCCACGCATCTTGCATAATAGTTTACCTTCACCCTAAGTATTCACGTGTTCCCGTTAAAGGCAAAATTAAAAAATGCCGACATCCCTTTTGAAACCACTAAAACATCCATTTCCAACCATGATATAAAAGATTTTGTTGTCATATTTTGCAAAACATTCAGTAAAAAGTGCCATGCATAATTATGCCTTAAAGCTAAACAGGATTATTTTTAAAGAAATATAACTTGACACATTCTCTATGATACAGCACACTGACATTGTCTCCGCGCTACAGGGCCCAGTGAAGCAGAAGATGTAAACGAAAGTGCCTCGCTGGCGACATCGCTACGGATGCAGAGTAGAGATACATACTCTGCACATGCATATGTTGGCTGGAGAACAAGCTAGCGCACTTAGCAGCTCTTCACATCGGGCACAAAGATTGTGAAAACTCGAATTGTTTTTCTAAAAAATGTAAATCTGAGAGGAGTCCTTTGCAGATTATCCTCAGGGACATTAACTCTTTGTGGACTAGCCACTGGATTGTTTTCACTTCAATACATTGATTTAATCAGAAATCTGTATTATAGGTATTCAATTTCCTCTTCTGCCACTCTAAAGCAGTGGTTCTCAACTGATGGGTCGCGACCCAAAAGTGGGTCGCGGTCCCGTTTCGAGTGGGTCGCGGATGTGTGAGTGAAGAAAAAAAATCGTTAACATTTTTTTTTTCTAACGCTGTGCATGCAGTAGGCGTTGAACTGGAAGTACCGGAGACCATAAACGGCTTTCAAAACTTCTGTCACGTAGTGATCATCTTCTCAATAAAACATCTTTGCTGATGTTTTTTCGAGTCTTCTGGCCAATCAGAATCAAGATTGTTGCCGGAAGTCTCCACGGAGAATAACTTTGCGGTAGAACTATTCTTTATACATCCATGGGTACAACTTCAGATACAAATGAACACGTAATGAAATATGACCCCCGGTTTGATGATTAACAGGTCACAGAACAATGGGAGCTATCTACCCTAACCCACAATTTAAAGTAAGTCACACAGACTATCTCCTCTTTGCTCTTCTCTCTGTGAGGAGCAGCAAGTTCAGCTTCAGAACAAAGTGAAAAACAAACAATGGCATAAAATATTAATATGTCGGGTAGTGATAGTTTTATTTATTTTCTTCTCAGAGTGTACCAGAATGCGTAGTTTATATGTTAGTATTTCTAAAAATCTCCTGGGGGAGAATCCCCCCAGACCCCCCTGCTGGGGTTGGGTTTTCAGCATGTGTGCTTTTTTATATAGTTCAGCTTTGATTCCATCATCTCATTAAACCTTTTTAAAAGCATACTTTAGTTCTATGAAGGGATATAAGGGATATATGCACTGTACTTCACTTTAATTAATATTGTATGCTGAAAAGCGTATATATTACAGCACGATTTTTTGTTGAATAGATTTGAGTGCTTCAAAATGTTGGGTCGCGATTTATTGACCAAGTAAAAAGTGGGTCCCGAGGCCTGACCAGTTGAGAACCACTGCTCTAAAGTATCCCTTGCTTATAATGTGTCAATCATGTTTAAGTAATTGTTGATTGCTCATTTTAGATATAAACACTTTTAAAATCGAAACCACGAATCGACAAAAAATATCCCATTTAATATACATTTAAAAAAAAGTGCAAAAATAATCATTTTGGTTGAGTTTCAGGGCTGTATGGACAGAAAACCAATTTGTTACTTTTCAACCTCCTTGGCTTCATTTCCTACATGAGTTTGGATTATCTTTTATTTGGTTTACTAAAACAGCTGATGTGGATAACCAAACCAGACATTTTAATGGGAATATAACATTTGAAAGATAAGGGTGTAACTTTTAACAAAATACATTGTTATATTATGTTTTATTTCTAGACAAAAAATCTATCCAAACTACAATTAGGGATATTTTTTCTCCACCTACTGAAATTAAACCAATATATTTATTTCTGCCTCCAATAAAATGTTTGGATAGTTAAAAAAATAGTTAAAAATGTTCCCGTCTGCAGTCAGTGTGACCGCAATGTTGACTGTCAGGCTACAAGAACTGAGCGTCCCTCCGTTGGCAAAGCAGGTGGCAAATAAAGGTTTGGCACATTTCCAATGTAGGCACTGTAAAGATTGATTTACAGTCTTTTAGCATCAGAGCGCCACGATAGCAAGAGGAAGAACTGGTGGAGAAAAGGCACTTCTGAAACCACACATACTGGGCCTGGAGCTGCGGGATGCAGTGCAACATTTACAGAAGAGTCCTCTCGTCTCTAGGCAAACATGGTCAGGGTAATCCACTGCAGAGAACACAGAGAGCGTGTAAATTAGGGGATGCTAATTGTAAGGTATTCACAGAAATTGTGAGTAGATTTCATTGTTTGTGTGGTGTTTATGTTCACGTGTGTGACCGTACCTGCGTGAAGTTGAGGGACATCATACCATCTCTATCCGTGTCCATGGTCTGAAAGGTTTCTGCAGACAGAAACAAAGAGAAAACACTTATTTTACTATCACCAACTTGCTATTATTATACTCTTTTTTAAGTGCAACACAAGCATTTGTATTTCTTTTTTATGTTATACGTTGTTTTGTTTTTTACCCAGATACATGTACAGTATGTTTATTTTTTAAATTATGGACATTAATAAACAATAGGCTACAATAGCATGTATGTATTAGTTTGAGCCATACAAGCGCCACCAATAACAGTAACGTAGACCCAAAAATCGTAATATTTTAATATAACTATAAATTAGGCGTTACATTTATTTTGTTAACGTTAGCTATCTATGCTAATGTTGTTAGCAACGTTGGCACTTAACGTGAACGTCAGTTTGTGGATAGCATAGATAGCTAACATTAGCGACCTAATACTGTTATTTGTGCATTACAAGTTATTTCAAATTAAAGTAGCATTGTTAACGTTGGAGGTTCAATTACAAATGCTATTGTTTGATCTTGGTTTGACTTTTTGTGGTAAATTGAGGTAAAATGTGTCTTTAATGACATTGAGGTGGTGCAGTCATGGGACTCACTGAACATGGTCTCCAGTCGGACCAGACAGGTGACAAAGTTGTCAAAGTCCACCGCCATGTCGGCCTCCGTGTAGCGCAGGATGATCAGCTGGAACAGTTGGTTGGTCAGCTTAAAACCTAAAGAAGAAAACCCAAACAGAAAAAATTAGGCCATGTTTTACAGAACAATAATCAAAAGCATCAGAAAAAGATGAAGATCCAGAGGGGAACACGTAAACCCTGTGAAGAAGAGTGAAAATTGCTTCTGACTTTTGTGTTACTACTTATTTGTTCTAAATTTAAATGAAAAGGAACAGTACCTGCAGATTCAAGAGCCATCCTCATCTCATAGGAGCTCATGGTTCCTGATTTGTCCAGGTCAAACTGCCTGAAGATGGTCTGGCAGGGAAACAGAAAATGGAGAATGGAAAAAAACTAGTATTTAGGCATGCCGACAGGAAGAACATGAGAAAAAAATGGTTGACTGATCGGTTGTCAAAACAAACAACAGGCTGACGCAGGTACCATGAAGCAGAATAAATATTATTGAGCCTGATCCGGGTTAAATCTCACCAGGTATCGCTTAATCTTTTCCCAGAGGACATGGAACTCTGTCAGGCCGAGCTTCCCACTGCCGTCCGTCTGAGCACAGGAGTTAAGGAACAACCAGTACGAGAACAATTATTATTTAAAATCACAAGCACCCAATTGTAAGGGAAAGTCTATAGGAGTACATGAAACAACAAGACACCAAGTTGTGACCAGGAAGAAAAGTGTATTGAATTATTTCAAACTGTCCATCACAAGTCCAACAATGGGACTAAACTTGGAGAGTACCTTTGTTTAATGAAGCATTTTTTTCTGAACCTTTTAATATTAATGCTGATATTTTGATGCCATTTCAAGGATACGTCCATTAGGTTTATCATACTGCGACAAGCCTCTTTTGTGAAGCCGTCTGTCTTCAGGTCCTTATCTGTTTGCATCAGAAAGTCAAACAAAAAGAGAGAAGAATATCAAATATAACACACTATAATTCCATATTATCAGATGCCAGCTTGTATTTCCAGGGTGATTGCAGCAGTTACTAACGTTTGCCGATGATCCTGTTCAATATGGTTTGCAGCTCTTTGAGGCTGATCTCCATATCCTGTTGAAATAAAGACAGTCATTGACATTGAAACATAACTAAAAGCTTTACCCTGAAACATTTGTCAAAGCGTTCTTACCGGCCCTGCCAGCTGTCTGAAGAGATTCTTGAAGCTGGCATCGATTTGGCTCTCGTCCAGCTCGATCTGAAACACAAACACTTCAGTACACTTTGGTTCCTCTCCACACAGTTTTAGCAATTATGTTAAGTTATTAAATCTTCTCACCTCTGTTGGAAGCTCAGCTATTACTTCATCGTCAAGCTCCCTGACATGGAAAGCAGAAACATTTAGAGTTACTTAGATGCTTATCTTAAGATACTATTTTTTTTTTACTTTGCTAAGGAGATGTTTTCAGCTTAATTTGTCTGTCAACAGGAATACTAAAAAAAAAAACTGGCCCAATGTTCTTGTAACTTGGTGAGAAGGTGTAGCATGGAGCCAATTAGAATAACGGAGGGAAAACAGACTTTCCAACTCGTGAAATGTGACCACCAGAGGAGCACTTGAACGCACCATTGGCCTTGGGGGAGGTCTCCGCTCTCCAAACGCCATTCTATTGTAAAAGCTGTTTCTTTCTCTGGTTCTATGTTGTTTTTAGCTTCATATGTATTGTATTCATTACATTTACTAAAGATAATACTTAATACAATTGACAGTACACTTGACTAGGAAATAATCTTGTAGAATTAAAGAATGGCTGCTTATTTTCTCCCCCAAAAAACTGATATTGATATACTTTATTAATCCGCGTGGGGAAATTGTATCTCTGCATTTGACCCATCCTAGTGTTAGGAGCAGTGTGCTGCCATTTTGAACGGCGCCTGGGGAGCAGTGTAGGGAACGGTGCCTTGCTCAGGGACACCTCGGTACACCTCGGTAGCACTTGGTCTTGCTGGGATTTGTACTGGTGACCTTCCAGTCGCCAAGCCAAGTCCCCTATCGACTACGCCACCACCGCCCTCAAAATCTCATATCATGCCCAAAGCATCCTCTCTGCCTCCTCCCACTCTGTCACAGCCACTCACTCGGAGTCTGCGGGCTTCTCAGAGAAAACTCTGAGGCAAAAGTCGGCCTCTTTGTGCGGCTCGAAGGTGGAGGGGACGATGATGTACTCCCCGGCCGGCAGACTCAGCCGCGAGCTGACCTCCCTCAGGTTGACGAAGAGCTCTGAGCGGGCGCTGGAGCCGTGGGTGAGGAAAAAGTCTCGCTTCAAGTGGACGCCTGAGCTGCCCTTAAACTGAGAGGGGAGGGAAATAGTATGCCTTCAATAAAGACTATAAAATCAAAAGATGAAAACATTTTGAAAAGAGGTGAAACTCATACCTCTTTTGGAATCTGTAAAGAATGGAGGAAGGGGGATAATTACTATGATGGACGATATCACGAACTACAAAATACATGAGAAAAGCTACAAAATAGAGATTATCTGGCTAAACTGAAATAAAGAAGAAAGTTTGAATCCTGAAACATGATATTGTAACATCTGTTATAAAGATAGCTTTTAACAGTGTCTTCGTTTAACTTTTTTCTGCTTCCTTTGTTTTAAAAACAGGCATTATGTTAATGTTCTCCAAGGGGAAAGTCTAAAACATGACCATTTGTTGGTTTTACGATGAAGTTTTTAGCACTGCTTGTCAGGCTTCACATTACCTCGTAGAGGGCAAACCCGATGGTCTCCATGTCTTTGCCCTCCCGCCTCTTCTTCCTCCGGTCCTTCTGCATGAGGCCGACCAGGAAGCTGCAATCTGATTGGCCGGGAGTGTCGGGATGCTGCAGAGCAATCTTGAACTGAGGGTTGAGCCAAAAGGTTGCTGGGAAGAAGGAGTTGGGAAAGTCAGATTGCAAAACGTTTGTTAGTATTTTTGTTTTTTTTATCCACCAAAATTCCTGTGGATATTCAGTGTCTCTGAAACAGAATATAACGCCACCATATGATCCTAACTGAAAAAGAAAATGAAACTGGATCGTGTTTTGAAACAGATCTTCTATCATATATCATCCTTCCATTTCGTTGTTTATTTCTACTTCCGGTTCCTTCCTCCCTTCCTTCCTCCCATCCATTTTCTAGCTCACACTTCCTACCTGGGAAGTTCCTGCAGCCTCCGGCCGTGCTGCCCCTCCTCCACTCGCCCTGATACAGAGACGAGCTCCATTTCTTCGGCTGGCTGGTCTGCAGGGCATCAGCCGTCAGGTTGCAGAGCTCCAGACGAGTGAACTCACGCAGGAAGTCACTGAAGGACATCCTGACAGACGTACACAAACTTACTGTTAGGACAGGGTTGTTTTTCCATCACAAAGTCCAAGAGCTTGTCTCAGCACAGACGAAAACACTGACATTTCAACATATACTGTTTTCTGCATCAACGTATCAAACCGACAAAGGGAAACAGGTGTGAAACAACAATAAGACACAACTGTAGGCCCTGAATTCAAATTTGGTTTGATAATGCGTGTGTTTCATTATATTACATTGCATTGCATTTAGCTGACGCTTTTATCCAAAGTGACTTACAATAAGTGCGTTCGACCAACACAATACAAACTTGAAGAAAACAGAATCATATAAGTACATCAGGTTTCATAGAGCAAAAACATTTCAAGTGCTACTCAACTGGCTGTAGATAAGCCAGCCCTTTATTAGTATATAAGTGCTTTGTTAATAGTTCTATCGCTCGAAGTGAAGTCGAAAGAGATGAGTTTTCAGTCTGCGCCGCCGCCGCCGTAAACTGATGGTAATAGGCACTCACCAGAATTCACCGTCCTCACTGCGGTTTTGTAGCCGACTTCTGACGGAGCTATCCACATTGTCCCATTCTCTGGAGCTGTGGATTTCACAAAGTTAAAAGAGAACTGTTCATGAATTGTATAACTAAGGCAGCACTTTTCCTCATTGGTACTGTAGATCCAAACATTATTTAGCAAAATAAATAAATGTTACTGAACGTGGTGTTGTTTCTTCAAATGTTATTCACACCATTTTGAGTATGTGAATTCGACATATTGGTAGCCAGGGGGGAAATTGGGTAGAATGCTTTTCTTACTGCAGGGATATAACTACCACCAGTGTAATTTTGGTGGGATTAGGAACATCCTGGTCAAAAATACAGGTGCAAATTTGGCAGCCATAACACCAGCTCTGCCAGATTTAGAAGACCCTCCTTTAAAATGTTTTGAGTAAAACACTTTTGTTTGCTTAAACTAGAGAGGGAAAACTAACACCAGTGTGATTTTGGTGGGATTAGGGCAGCTTCAGAAGCCCCCCTTTGGTATTTGTAATACATATTATTGAATCCCAACCATTTCTCCCCTCTGTCTGACTTTTCTTCTAAATCCTAAGGACAGATGAGAAGCCAATAAGCAGAATTTTTTGGGAGGCGCTCTTAAAAGAGACAGGCACTGAAAGGGAGCGTCTCGGAGCGAAGACAGGTATATACAAACAGACAATATTAGAAAAACAACGTGTTTTTCATTAGAAACCCTTAATTTAAGTATGAACCTGAAAATGACCATTATATATCCTCTTTAACTGCCTATAAAAACTACAACAAAATTCAGTATTTATCAAGATATAAGAGATTTAATCAGGGTGAAAACATTCTTCCAACATTTAAGACCTTCACACTTCATTTAAATGCTAAATTGGATGTAGTTAGTGTAAAAATCATCGTACTTGTCGCTCCACGCTCCGGTCCACTCCACTTCCCCCCAGGGGTTCCTGATGCGAACCAACTTGGTCTTATTTCCTCTGTAGACGACCTGAGGGCACAAAGACATTTACACTTCGTCACTACTTAGGTCACCTGGGGTGAGTGCGTATCACAAACGCCCTGCACACGTCTTTCTGTGTCTTACTGTCGGCAACTCTGAAATTAAATGTCACAGTTTAACAAACCCTAACAAATGGAGCTATCCTCTCCGCCATTTGAAACTAATTAACTTCAGTTACAGAACGTAATGATACTGATTATAAAAGACCTACAGTGTGATGCATTTATCATGTGACAATGTCATAAGAGATGAACAAGAGAATATTTGAGAATTATTATTATTTAGTATTATTATTTTTTTGTACTTTGTTATAATTATTATTTTGAGTGAGAAAAAAAAAGAATATATATTATTATTGTTGTTGTATGTTTTGTTTCTGACATGTTCAATACATTGACTAAAAAAATAAATAAAAACGTTACTAAGGGGAATGTGGCAGAGCAATGAACCCATGATACATTTAGGGTTTCAATCTATGATTTTATAAGTAAAAATACAGTTTTCAAAGTTAACTTTACTGAATAAACTCCAGTGCATTCCTGTAATCAAGCAGTTTTGAGAGTCAAAATCGGCAAAAGTAATATTTCCTTATATATGACCTACTGATAAATGGTTAAATCCTTTTAATACGTTGCTTGAAAAGCATCCTTAAAGGTTTTTCAAGGAGTAAGTCAATGTGTGTTATAAGGAAGAACATTTGCTAAGAATAAATTGAATTACAAGTAAATAGTCCCAACGTTTTTTCCTCACTCTTTACAGTTCTGACATTTTGGATCTTGACCATCGCAAAAGTCACCATGCTGCCCTTTTGGCTGAGGAATTGGATTTGACTGTGAACCGCTCACCTCGTCCACACCGGTCACAGAGTAGGCGTGTCCCTTCACCAGCTTCTTGAACGTCACAGCCTCCTTGTCCCCAGAGCTGGTGATCTGAGGAGAAACAGCGCGGTCAGTGACGTCTATAAAGTGATTTACAGTCAGGAGGAACTGCACACTGCTGCTCCACATGTGACTAGAGACATTCACATTCAACTCATTATCAAGGTCAACACACTTTAGCTTTTTGGATTTTCCTGTGGGCATTTATTTAGTTAATATGTTTTTCAGTTAAGTAAGTGCCATGCAGACACATCGCAGATCTGCTTAAGCAAACAAAGACAACGCAGACAATAACAGTGTTAAATACATGAGCGTTTAAACTCATTTTTAAATGCAAAAAATATATATTGATATAAATAGATCCCACATTTGTTGAGCTTACTAAATGGGAGTCATTACATATTTTTTCTTCAATATTTACAATTTTAAATGTGTAAAAAATGCAAACTATAAATGTAAAAGGTGCCGTTTAGAACCTAAACTTTGTATTTTAAACATTTATCCAGAAGACTGTTCGCTATCGGTTAAAGTGAAAAGACTAAACTACTGTGAGGACATCTATTTGGAGAATTGTAAGCTGTACTCTGCTCTGTTGTGGATGTGCTTTTATTGTATTTTTGTTGAATTTGTTAATTTGCTAATGTAATTATATTCTTGGTCTGTACTTTAAACGAATTTCTAGCATCTGCACACTTTTGATTTTACACTTTTTTTTTTTGTTGCATTATTCTGTAATCTGCCATATGTCCAATGTTGGGGAATGTTCGGTTGTGTTTCTGTAATGTGATAAATAAAAGTGTAATCAATAAATACATTAGATTAGATGTTCTATCCTATTTTTTAAACCTTGTTGCGGTTAAACCAAATAAACCGCCTTTATTTGTTGTTGTTGAGCTCTATATTTCCTCATCCCTGGTACAGAAAGCTCTTTAAACTTTGGTATTGGGTCTTTTACTCCAAAATGACCTGGAATGGCAGTCCCCCCTACCCAGACTGGGCAGCACAGGGAGGCATGGTAAGTACAGAAAATGATCAGACAGACGGAGTTCAGTCCCCTCTGTCTGCAAACATCCCGTGTCCCGGAAAAATGTGCTGATTTCATATCAGCTTTTACAACAGGTTTCCATATCTTCGCTGCCCTCTCCTGGCTCAACACCACATTTTTCTTACATTTATTTACATTTACAGCATTTACTTCTAAATTCACCAATATTCAGGAACTGAGGTTAAAAAAGACTTTCTGTCAACAACAATTCTCTATTTTAAGTGCTAGTAAGTTTAATATACTTTCTGTATTCTATGATGTAAACGTAGTTTGAATCTGTTTGGTTTCCCGTGCCCCCTTGTGAAAATCCTCCCAACCATTGGACTTCCACGCTCAGCATGTCTGGCTATTTGTTTACCTTTCACCTGCCCTCACAGGGGGTCAAATTAAAGTACGTGTTGTGTTAGATACGGTAATACAAATATTTACTGTCCCCTATTGGATTTGTAAGAAGTGACAAAGCACTACAACCTACTGTTTTCATTATTAAACACTTGATAATGATTGTATTCTCGCAAAGTATTTGGTATAAAACACTACCTGAAGTGTATTTTACAATTAAACAAAAAGCACAGAGAAGTGAATAACTTATATCATAACTTTTTTTTTACTTAGTACTTTTTAATGCATGTAACATATGTAACATTAAGCTGTCTGTGGCTCTTTTTCTGCTGTAACTACATACATTTCCCCTCTGTGGGACTAATACAGGTATTCTGATTCTGATTCTGAATAAGAGATAAGATGATCCAAAAAGAAAAAGCAGGAAAATCTTCACTTTTGGTACCATTACTACTTGAAATGAGTTGTTTAATGAATTGATTCAACTGATAACTCCAGTACTGTATCATATAACTTTGAGGTTAATCATTTAAGTGTGATTTAAAAAAAGAAAAGTGAGTGGAAGTTAGGAAAATGGGGCACTAAGAAAAAGGTTGCCTTTTTAAAGTAAAACGCAGCCGAAATGTAATACAAACTTAGATAACGGCATGTTTTCATTTTTTCTTTACAACAGGCTCTTTCTTTTCATCGTATGAAATACAACTGTCCTTTTTGAACTGTCAATCGCAAACGAGTTAAAGGAGTAGTTGGACATTTTGAGTAATGCTTATTTCCTTTTTCCCTGAATACGATTGATACCACTCTCATGTATATATGGTAAATATAAGGCTGGAAATAACTTCAAAGCTGAAGCATGAAAGTTGCAGTACTGACGTCTATGGAGCAGCCCAGCAGAGACCCTCTTTCTATGGCCCTGCTGATGATGTTGTAGAGGTCGGAGGGGGCTTTACTCAGGTCGAACATCTCAGTCACGCCGCCCGTGAAGTCCTCAAAGCCCTCGGACGTGCTGCCCCCTGACAGAGCCTCATAACAGCCGTTCAACCTGGGACACAACAGCAGATTAATGAGGATTACAACTCTTTCAAATACAGTACAAAAGGGAATATTAGATATACTTGCAGGCCTTAAAGGGAATCTATAGACTGGACTGTTGCTAAGGGGGAACAGTTAATAAACACTTACTGCTCCACACTGTGCGACACTACCATATACAGTACCTTCATACAGTAAATGTAACCATGCATAAATCCTGCTTTTTACATCACACTCTTAGCGTTTCTTCTCTGCTCTTAACTGGGAAGCCCCCTTCACTTGGCACGCTGACACTTACTCAAACAATGCTGTGATTCACTATAACAGCTAACCAGATTTACAACTGAGACCACAGCTGTGCACCAGAGCAGCTGCAGTCTCTCTCAAGTGTGTGTCAATGGTGTTCCAAGGAAAGATTTTCTACATCCAGAAACTCTCCCACGACAGGCTTCATTGTACAAAGTCGTGCCTCAAACTACGGTCCTCAACAGGCCTTAACTTGGGATCATCTGAGTGAGAGTGAAATACTGAGACTACAACTTGAGCAGACCCATATTCAGGGGTGGCGGGTACTATAGGCTAGGGAAGGCTAGCAACAGCAGTTTAAACTGTATTTCCTTTATCCTGTAATATGACTTGATAGATTTAAACTCTGCACCCTGAGCTCTGATTGGTCAGCAGGCGGTGCTTTCACTGAGTTGATCTCTTTTCTATAGACGCCGGGGGCGGGCAGCGTCAGGTAAAAAAAGTTATTTAGCCTTCCCAAACCTGAGCCTCATGCGCCGCCTATGCCCATATTCATTATGTTGTATTTATATTAAGATGGATTGAGCATAAATATGGGCTGCTAACTGGAATAAATAACAAAGAATGTTAATTTGAAGTGTGCTTGTGTAATAATATCTTCAATTCATTACAGACACTGAAATTGTGTCGACAGAGCTAACGAAAAAGCAGCAATCGTCCCATTTTGTACAATTGATTATAAAGCAGGGAAAGGTGCATTTAAATCGTATGAAATTATTAAAACACTGTTGCAATTGTGATGCAGATGCATAAAAACTGACCAATCACAGCAAACCTGGCTGTTTAAGTGTTCTTAAAGAGACAGGCACTAAAATAGAGCAGTTCAAACAGATGGTAAATACGGATATAATTAGACAGGAATTATGAGAAATATAATGTGTTTTTCTACATCAAGGCATGTAAACATGTTGTATTAGAAACCCAAAATACAATTATGAACCTTACAAATAAAATATGTCCCCTTTAAACAACCAAAATGTAGTCAAATGTAGCTACCATTCAAGGTATGATGTGGGCAAGTTAAAGCTGGAAGCAACAACAATATGAATTTGATATAGTGGCATTTAAACAGCATTATTCAGTTTGTTACGTCCGTCAGTCTTACTTTGCGTAGGCCTTTTCCAGCAGTGCGCTCCAGAACTCGGTCCCCTCTGCCGAGTGGACAAACAGCAGCTTCCCATCCTTCACCGGCAGCCGGTCATCGATCACCACCTCCACCCACTCGCCAAACTGCCAGAACTGCACGAGACACGAGAAAACACCAGTATTAAAACTGACAAAGTTTACAAAAGATACACAAACTATTGAAGGGAGATAAAGTCATGTATTTCAACTATAAAGCTTGCCGGTCATTCATCAAACCCAGGACTAGAGAGATATAGTGAGTTTTTCTTAAGCTTTTTATTTTAATAAGTACCTTAAAGCTGTTTTTCAATACATTTACTTTCCATTAATAATGTGGAAATAAAGAGGACAGATAAACCTGCTGCAAGTACAACTAGTTTCTCAATTAGCTCTTCAGAAAAACTACACTAACAGCTGGAGTCTGGAGTTATCCATTTCGGGGACTTTAAAGTTTCTCAGTTCAAGTGGGCAAAGGTGAGGGTAAACGTTTTAAAGTATAGCAGCATTAGTGTAGATATAGTCTAGACTAGGAGGCCTCTATTTGAATCCATGTCACATCTCCAGAATGTAATTTACACCTTGATGCCAGAACATCCGGCACACCCAGAGATGAGTCTGAGCTTTACAGGAACATGGTGGCACATTACAAAATGAACTTTATTCAAATGCTTTGCTTCAGGATAGATTTCTGATGTTGTGTTAGATGTACTGCTCCCTGCTGGCCAACAGGCACGCAGCCACGTGGTATTTAAGCATAACGTGAGAAAACTATTCAGAAAACCCTAAAACCATTAACCTCAGTTCACCTGATGCATTGCAACACTTTTGTCTCCTGATGCATCATCTTCAAAATGTAGGCTCGCCTGATTGCTATGCATCATTACTAGACATACTGAAGGTAAACAAGGTGCAGCAAATTCCAGCTGCTTTGGTCTGTAAGCCGATGGTTTGCTTGCAGGACTGGTTGAGATATGTAGCTTGAAATGCAGCAGGTGAACTCAGGTTAATAAAGGAGAGGTTAGTTTCTCTGAAATGTTTTCAAAAGGAGATTAAAAGACAAATGCATTGCTGTGTGGCTGTTGGCCAGCAGAGGGCAGAAGAGGCCAACAACATATATATTCTGTATCTGAAGTCTCTTTAAACAAAAACCAGGGTGTTGTAATAGACGCCACTTTTTCACAGATTCATCATATAGAAATGATTTGTAAGAAGATACAGCATTTACTTTACTTACTGGCTGCAGTAAGACCTGGAACATTAACCTATAAATGAAACCGTTAACTATATTATCAAATCCATTTGTATGCAAATACAACTGGCCATATGGCACACTGCTTTCAAGCACCTGACAACCTGTGCATGCTCAGACTTGCTAACGATGTCCTACGATTGACTTCTGGCATGTTTTAATACCAACTTCTACCCTCCAAAAGAGCCTTTATTTAAACACAACAGGCTGAAATAACCATCTTTCTACGTAAGACTATGGTGTTGCTAAACCGAAATCAGCGTAATGCTAAACTAAGATTTAAATGTGATATGTTAAAGTGTTATGACTGTTTGAAGGTGTTTTAATGCTAACTAACATAAATGTAAAATGTGTAACTCTGTTCATATTGATGATTGTATATCTTGATTGGAACCGCATAACTGTTTGGGGATTGTTTTGCATCTATGTTTAGTTGTTTAGCATCTCATATAGTTGTTTTGTGTCTATTTTTAGTCTTTATATATTTCTTTGTAGTCCTTTTGGATGTTTTGCATACATTAAGAGTATATTTGTGGTTGTTTTGCGTCTCTTTGAAGTCGTTTAGTGACGATTATAGAGATATTTGATTAACTCTTTGGCCCCTGGGCCTGGGCCCGATAAGCCTGTTTCAGTGTAATGAAAGAAATATATCTTTGTCAACATAATTAGGTTTGTATGACAGAGTGGGGAAGGAGGTTGCACGCTTGTCATTTGGCACGTAAAAGCCACAGCTTGAGTGTGTGTGCATGTATGTGATTTTACAGATTGTGCCTCATGTCAGAATGTGTGTGTACAGCAACATGGACGATAGATGGATGAGTTGCTCTGCAGAGCTGAACCCACCTCTGGGAGGAACTGTGTCACAACACGGCTGACTGAAGACAACACAATACACACACACACACACACACACACACACACACACACACATACACACACACACACACACACACACACACACACACACACACTTTTCATGCTAATCTGTCACACTCACATTGCTGAGCATTTATCTCCCAGCCTCACTGGGGGAAATTAACTTCCACATGTGTGTCATAACTTGCAGCCTTAAAGCAAGATGAATCCTAAACAGAATTCAATAAAATGCTCAGACTTTCTGTGTGAAATATGCCGCAGTTCTGTTTCATTTGTTTGCGACTGAGATTGCCTAGTTTATAATATATTCCCCCACCTTTTGTTTTGCCTCCTTCGCACAGACTTCCTCCTTTTCCTCCCATTTAAAATTCACACTGCCAGCAGCCCTCATAATTATATTTTGGGATGACTCATCTAGGTCTGGGAAATTAATCCACAGGCTTACCGGATCCAAACCGTTACAAAGGGAGATCCCTGGAAGACTCAACAGCACGCAAAAGGGAACAGAGAATGGAAACATGCTTGAAAAAAAATAGAAACTGCAAGTTATGGAAAAAGGAAAGAATGAAAACAATTCTTGGCTGCAATGCAAACACAGTGAATAGAGGCTAAAAACATAGAATAGAAAGTGATGAAAGTAGGGCAACTTGATACTAAATGGAAAGCTTTTCACAAGCTATTTCATGCATGTACATTAACCACATGCATGCATTTACAAGCCTTCAGAGCAAATGAAAGTATTATTTCCACTCATCCTAGCAGAGAGAACAAGTATGTCTATATTCATAAAGATCTCGGGAAATATTCGGTGAAAAATGGGCCAAATATTCGGCTCTCCCTCGGCTGACTTTGCAGTAAGTGAGACACCAGCCCCAGCAGACATGTGGAAACGTGTGTGTGTGTGTGTGTGTGTGTGTGTGTGTGTGTGTGTGTGTGTGTGTGTGTGTGTGTGTGTGTTTTACATTTTGGGTCAGTTCCTACGGTTGTAATATGTGTCTTTGATGTATGAGAGCTCCCCCTCTGTTCCCTGTTTCACTTCCTTGTTCTGTCTCTCATGTCAACGCTTGGCAGGCTGACAGTCTGGTTGGCAAATTCTATCTGCATCAAAAGGAGGGCGGCCAACTCAAAGTGCATTAATCCCAAAGTACGGGAATGTGTTCATTATCTTAAGAAGTGATTGCTAAAAGGAAAAGGATTGGCCATCATATAAATAAGGTGTTTTTTTACAAGGGGCCCTACTATGCCCATGTGCAGGTTTATATATTTGTACTTTGTGTCTCTACCGTGACATGTTTCCATGCTTCAATGTTCAAAAAGCTTTTTCTCATACTGCCTGTGCTGCAGCACCTCTTTTCACCCTCTGTCTGAAACCAGAGCCCAGTCTGCTCTGATTGGTTAGCTGGCCGCTGTTGTGATCAACTGCCAGTGATGTCTTAGCCTATCACGTACATGGGTTTGAGCGCTAGCCAATAGAAGCGCAAGTGTTACAGTGAGATGTCATTATGATATGGAAGTAAACAATGGAATCCAATGGAGACCATTCTTGAATCACTTCATGACATTTCTCGATTATGGAAGTACTTTTATATTGCATTCATTTTGCTTGTTATTTATACTACATTCAAATTGAGCTTCTCATAACTTTACACCACACATATTTCCCTATCTCCGACTGGACTGCATGAATGCTTTGTGCAGCAACTAATGATTCGTTTCCAATGTGCATGCTGCGTGTGTTCATGTGTGGGTCTGGAGTATTTTGTGTACAAAGCAAAGTCCAGCTGCTAAGGCCAGATGCTCGTGCCGTAAGGATAGAATACATGTTGACTATTTCATGTCAGGAGTGGTCCTTCAGGAAGTAGATGTGATACTTTAAACACATAGATGTTTGATTGTTAACAGTAGTTTAGTTTTCTCTGTAGAAATCACTGATAATATCTTCTTTCGGTTAGTGATAAGGAAATGGTTGTCGGTTTAGGAGAGTGTGTTTAAAACAGTGTGACGGTGACTCAAATCCTCCCAGGTCTATTGACTTATGGACTGAATGGGCGTGGATCTGAGAAGTCAGTTATCTGGCATTATTCATTGAGGCGTGCTGTTTTAATTCCTTGTTCTCTCTGGGAAATTCATGGGGGAGAAAAAAAAAAAAGAGTTACATTTCTTCCTGACGGACTGGTTTTGCAGATTTGTATGATTCCCGCTGCAGATTAGTTTCATTTTTGAACCATAAATTACCTCGTTGTATCTAGGTGCCATTCTGCAAAATTATGTTTTTCGTTGAGTTAAACACCCAAAAGGATTCAGTTTAGTAATAAAGGAGAAATCAGGAATTCTTCACAGGAGAAAGAGATAACATAATTACTAAAAAGATAATAGTAAAATTGTTTTCACTGAACTTCCTCTCTGCCTTATAATCCCTTTATCGCTTATAATTTCAGCGCCATTTCAGATAACAGTAACGGCCCGTCCACACAGCGGCTTTGGAAAAAGCTTGCCAGCGGGCGTGTCTGAAGCTCGACCAACAACCAATCACATGAATCTCCCGCCCCTGACACACAAGCAGCGGTTTGATTGGCTAGAGCTTGTACTGGCATATGATTTGATTGGCTGACGCTTCCACCGAAAGCTTCAGAAGCTTCAAAAGTTGAACATTGCTCAACTTTTGCAGCCTGAAACGCCAGGAAAGCTCCGCTCTGCTTCCCACAATGCAGTTCGGCGAAAAGTGATGTCACCCCATTCAAAGTGAATGGGAAGAAGCTTCCAACGCCGCTGTATGGACGGGCCGCAAGAGCTGCATAGCGTGCAACTGTAGCAAAAGAAAACAATCTGTAAACTTCTCAGTTTTTCTTTCTATAAACAAAATAAGGTTTGAAAAAGGTGAAATATATTGAAAAGACAGCATCGGTGATCGCCCTGTGACTAAGTTTCAAAAGAGAAACGACATCATGCATCTACTCACAGCGAGAGAACAACAACATCGTTCACAGGAGCAACAAATCAGCTGGAAGGAAAACTATCGAGATCTATTGTGGCACCTGAACGCAACACTACTCTGCCTGCTATGGGAAGTCAAGCAAAAAACAAAAAGTGAGAAAATAAGCTGTTCCACACCAGAAGAAAACAAACTCTTTGTTATTTCACACCAACAGTTTGCAAAACCATGTGGTGCACCAAACAGGAAATGACCCAACATGAAGAGTTGGCAGAAACACATTATGAAGAGAGCTGGCACTGAACTACTGGCTGCTGAAACTAAAAGGTCACAACTGCAGGAATTCCCCTACAATGTGAACGTCCTTAGGGTTTGATGAAAGAAGGTTTTTATACTTTGTTGTGTTGTGTGTTTAGATGCAGGAAGTGAAGCTGCTCTCACCTGGAAGTGGAAGATGCCGGCGTATCCCTGCTGGAAGCCCTGTCCGTGAGGAACCACTCGGTGGAGGAGGTTGTCGTTCAGGGTCAGCGAGGCGATGGCCGCCAGCAGCCAGCAGTCGCCTGAGGACACACACACGCACACACACACTTCTTATTACCCTGAACTAACATAACAAAAAGTTACCATATCACATCTAAGCGTTCACTAGAATGACAGCAGGTAATATATGTGAAGCAGGGTTCCGACACTTGACTACTTTCTATAGTAATAAAGTATATTTACTCAAAATTATATATTTGCACGTTAGTACAATTTTGAGGAACTTGTACCTAACCTGAGTATTTCCAATGTAGGCTAATGACATTACACAAGCCAATATTCTACTGTTTACACCACTACGTTCAATTGACAAAAATAAGTCAGATAGATTAAAAGCTAATACAAATATTACTGATACATTTGACTGTATACGATTCTGAAAAGGGCAGTAAGGCATAACAAGTACTATAACTTTTGGTATTTTAAGTATAATTTGATATCAATACTTCTGTACTTTCGCTTTAGATTTTTACAAATTAGTATTACAACTTGTACTTAAGTTAAACATCCGAGTACTTTTTCTTCCACTGCTAATTTCAAATTGAACAGACTCTCTACATCTGTTCCAATATTAGCAGAGAGCAAAACACTATTCTTCATAAATCTCTTCATCACTCATGCTGCTGAGATAATGCTTCCAGCCTCAGGGAAGACCCTTGTGAAAGTGGAATTTTCCCAGTGAAGAGAAGAGCCTTGAACTCTGTTTGAACAAGCTGAGCCCTCGGGGAAATGGGAGAGGCACTTGTTCCATTAAGAGAAGCGCAGAAACTACCAAAGCTCCACAATAAGTGCTGTTACAAGGACATAGAGTCACAAGTCTCTCGGAACGTAATTTTGACCATCGTGCTTTTACACACGAAGGCATGCGAGCTGAGATAGTATCAGAGGTGGATAAAGTATGCAGATCCTGAACTTACTGTAGGTACAAATAGAAATACTATGGTCTTTAAATACTCCATTACAAGTATCAACATCAAAATGTAATGAAAGTACAGGGGAGTAAAAGCACTCATTCTGCATAATGGCCCATTTCAGTTACATACGAGGGAGGCGTGTGGCACAGTGGGTTAGTGCGCTGGTGTGTGGACCAGAGGGTCACAGGTTCAAACCCACTGCAGTCAGCATGTCGTTGTGTCCCTGAAGACACTTCACCCAAAATTGCTCCTGTGGGGATTGCCCACAGTATTGAGTATGTAAATCACTTTGGATAGAAGCGTCTAACAAGTAACATGTAATCTCATCTAATCTAACATGAAGTATTATCTGCTAATTGTAAATCAATAGTAAAAGTATGCAAAATGGCTCTTTCAAAGTATTATATGATCAAAGAATATTATCTTGTTTGTATCACACTTTTAATCTTGTAATTTGTAAATTAGGAGCCAGACTTTGTTGAACACATGATTGATAGGTAGTACTGCATCATATTATATCAGCATATCATGTGTTTTTATATAAAAAGTAAATTATAGAGTGTTAAATACAATATAATATCTACTGGAGTAAGACGTACAATATTGCCTCTGAAATGTAGTGCAGTAGAATATAAAGAAGCATTAAATGGAAACTAGAAAATGCATTTCCTGCTGAAAATGCGTGCAAATGCTGTAAACTGTGTAAATTTGTTGCTGAATTTAGCTAAAAATGCAGAAAAATCTGAATATTTTATTAGCAGAATCTCTGTAGCTGCTTTTAGCAACAAAAACCAAGTTAGTGTGTTGCTGAACTTAGCGGAGAAATGCAGAAAAGTGAAATGATTTGAATCAAAGTTGTTACAGCTCAAATGCATTGCAATGACTTTGAAAACTTGAAAGTGAAATGTTAAACTGGAAGAGTAGGAAAAATAGTGAAGAGCTTAATATTTAAAAGAAAAGGTTTAAAAAAGCTATAAACAATAAAAAGTATAGCCTCAATGTCCTGAAATAGCTGAATAATGTAATAGTTGAATGGTTTCTGCAGCTGAAAGTAGGCTGAAGGAGTTAGATATTAAATGTAAGTAGTAGGCAAGGCAAGTTTATTTATATAGCACTTTTCAACACAAGGCAATTCAAAGTGCTTTACAAAAAACGAAAGACATTAAGAAAATGGCATTTAAAATCAGTCATTAAAAAGAAAAGCTAATAAAATAAACATTAAAAGAAAAAGTACATGGATAAAAGTTACAGTGCAGTTTAAGATATGAATAGTTAAATTAAAAGCAGCAACAAAAAGAAAAGTCTTCAGTCTGGATTTAAAAGTAGTCAGAGTTGTAGCGGACCTGCAGGTTTCTGGGAGTTTGTTCCAGATATTTGGAGCATAATAACTGAACGCTGCTTCTCCATGTTTAGTTCTGACTCTGGGGACAGAAAGCTGACCAGTCCCTGAAGACCTGAGAGATCTGGATGGTTCATAATTTAGCAGGAGGTCAGAAATGTATTTTGGGCCTAAACCATTCAGTGCTTTATAAACCAGCAGCAGTATTTTGAAATATATTCTTTGACACACAGGAAGCCAGTGTAAAGACTTCAGAACAGGAGTGATGTGATCCACTTTCTTAGTGTTAGTGAGGACTCGAGCAGCAGCGTTCTGAATCAGCTGCAGCTTTCTAATAGATTTTTTAGTGAGACCTGTGAAGACACCATTGCAGTAGTCGAGTCTACTGAAGATAAAAGCATGGACAAGTTTTTCCAAATCCTGCTGTGACATTAGTCTTTTAATCCTAGATATATTCTTTAGGTGATAGTAGGCTGATTTAGTAACTGTTTTAATGTGACTGTTGAAACTCAGGTCAGAGTCCATGACTACACCTAGATTTCTGGCTTTATCTGTTGTTTTGAACATTGCAGACTGAAGCTCAGCGCTAACTTTTATACGTTCTGACTTGGCTCCAAAAACCAGTTTTATCTTTGTTTAATTGGAGAAAGTTCTGACACATCCAGTCATTGATTTGTTCAATGCACTTACTCAGTGTTTGAATTGGAGCATAGTCTCCTGGTGAAATTGTTATGTAATTTGTGTGTCATCTGCATAGCTATGGTAACTTATTTTGTTGTTTTTCATTATCTGAGCCAGTGGTAGCATGTAGATGTTAAAGAGAAGAGGCCCCAAGATGGAGCCTTGAGGAACCCCACATGTCATATTTGTCAACTCAGATGTGTATTTACCTATAGAAACAAAGTTGTTTCTGTCCTTTAAGTAGGATTCAAACCAATTCAGAACTGTTTCCGAAAGTCCCACCCAGTTCTCCAGTCGGTCGAGTAATATGTTGTGGTCAACAGTGTCAAACGCAGCACTGAGATCTAATAATACCAACACTGAAGTTCTGCCACTGTCTGTGTTTAAGTGGATGTCATTAAAGACCTTTACAAGAGCAGTCTCAGTGCTGTGGTTTGGACGAAAGCCTGACTGGAACACATCGAAACAGTTATTTAAATGCAAGAAATTACTCAACTGTTGAAAAACAACTTTTTCAATGATTTTACCTAGAAATGGGAGGTTTTGATATTGTTCATTACTGAAGCATCTAGATTATTCTTTTTTAAGAGCGGTTTAATGACTGCAGTTTTCAGGGCCTGTGGAAAAATACTTGAGTGAAGAGATTTGTTTACTATATGAAGTAGATCTGAGGCCATGCAAGGCAAAACATCTTTGAAAAATCCTGTTGGAATAATATCAAGGCAGCAGGAGGAGGATTTCAGAAGTTGTATAATGTCCTCTAGGTTTTTATCATTAATCTGATGGAATTGTGTCATGGTGTTTGAATTGATGTTAAGTGGACACAGAGACAACACATTTGCTGTTCCTGATGCAGAGGCACTGACTGCTTGTCTGATTTTCTGAATTTTGTCAGTGAAAAAGGCAAAATCATTGCACGCCCTGGTGGATAGAAATTCAGAGGCTACTGACACTGGGGGGTTAGTTAGTCTGTCGACGGTAGCAAACAAAGCATGTGCGTTGTTTTTGTTTTTGGTAATGATGTCAGAGAAGAACGATTGTCGTGCGTTTTTCAATTCCAAATTATAAAGGCCAAGTCTCTCTTTATAGATTTCAAAGTGAACCTGGAGATTTGTTTTTCGCCACCTGCGTTCAGCTTTTCGACATTCTCTTTTTTCTGTTTTCACGCTCATGGCCTTTCTCCATGGAGATATTTTCTTGCCAGACACTTCCTTTACCTTAGTTGGAGCAATGGCATCTATAACATTTTTAATTAAAATGATCTACTAGCTCATTTATTGAGATGTTAGCAGGGGCAAGTGTGGAAGAAAAATTCTGAGTAAACATTTCCCTAGTATTTTCAGTTAAATATCGCTTTGTGGTTATCTCTTTTTGAACATTTTTGTGAACAGAAATAGAGCTCTCAAAGAAAACACAGGAATGATCAGAGAGTGCAACATCAGTCACCACAACCTTAGAGATATTCAGACCCTTTGAGATAATTAAGTCCAGAGTGTGCCCCTTATTGTGCGTGGGCTCCGTCAGATGCTGAGTCAGTCCATAGCTATCAAGAACACAAAACAGTTATTACCCATAAACACAGATATCGGCAAAGCTACAGGCAGGCAGGGCCCTGGCATGTCCTGGAAAGAGTTGAGAGTGCCATTTGCCCTTGAGCCTGGACCCAGCAGATATCAGTTTGCAGCGTTTTGTACACACACATCCTTATCAGGCTTCAGAGACTGCAGATGCTTTCTTGAAGGGAGGGGAGGTGGTTGACGTAGGCACGGTGATGGAGACGGGCGAGATGGTGCGGGGGTAGAGGACATGCTGCCAGGGGGGGAGGTGGTTGACGTAGGCACGGTGATGGAGACGTGGGACATGGTGCGGGGGTAGAGGACATGCTGCCAGGGGGGGAGGTGGTTGACGTAGGCACGGTGATGAAGACGGGAGAGATGGTGCGCGTCTCTGCGGTGATTTTGGTGGGCGTCGTTGAGGAGCGGGGGTAAAGGACATGGTGCCAGCCCTGCGTATCGCCTTAGTTTGGTCTTAGTAGTAGTGAATGAATGTGTATTAAGATGAGAAAAGAAAGTAAAAACGCTTTGAAAAGCAGCAGAATATTTTTAAAACGTTTGAACTAAAACCATACGTCACCAATAATGTATAAAATATGTGGAACGTGTTGAAGTCAGTATGAAGTTTCCATCAGACAGAAAGGCTGAGACAGTCTGTAATAATAATAATAATAATCCTTATATTTATTATAGCGCTTTATCAATGACTCTCAAAGCGCTTTACAAATACACATTACACATACAGATCATACACACAGAGCGGGTTTCGAACTGGAGTTCCCCAACGCCCCCTTGATCTGATGATCAAACGCACAGACCACTGCGCCACCCGTCCCGTCCCGTCTGTGTGATTGTGTTTGAGGTGACGACGTTATCAAACACCTGTGTGTGTAAGCCCAGAGATCAAAGGTTACCATGTTGACGACGTTATCAAACACCTGTGTGCAGAGATCAAAGGTTACCATGGAGATGTGCAGTAAAAGGAGAGCCTTTCCATTGATCTGAATGAGATAAACCTCTTACATTTCTAACTATAGTTTAAAAACGGTAGCTGCTTTCGGTAAAATGTCAACGCTGGAGGATGTCAGGACCGCGAGGAGCGTCTAAATCTGCTGTTTGTGTACTTTCGGGTCAATAATGTGGCATTTTTGGCAGATTTACTAAAGGTGTGCAGCTGGTGCTCTGAGGACAGATCAGGCTGAATTTACAATGGGATTTAATGGAGACATGTTGAAAGTTGTTGTCACTTCATCCCCTCAAGAGGCATTTTGTTTAATATTTTTTTATTTTTCAACGTAGGAGAGGTTTTCCTACGTTTTTCATGAAAAAGGGTGTCCAAGGAGTGTAGGGTTTGAGAATTATGGCAGGTTTAAAACATTTTGGGCTCTCCTGCACTCTATTTTGAGATCAAAGCACTCTCGACTTAACGAGCTGCCACACTAATGTTAAAATCTGAAAAAGGCGTCTTTGACAAGCTCCAAACTAAGTTAAATATCTCAAAAGGTGTAAAAGATATCAGGAAGTATGTGGAAGGAGTAGCATTTGGCGCACGCCCGGTGTAGGTAAAAGAGGATTTGAAGGTTCCTCGCATTGAGTTACATGTTAAAAAAAGAGTTTACATATGTATACCCACATATACACATATATGTACATACCTACACACATATACTTACACATACATACATGTATATACAACAAAAAAAACATACATTCATAGTCCCCCCTTTCTTCCTAACTTAGTGTCTTAAGTTCAGCTATGTAGGCTATCACAGAGTCCCAGACAGATTCAAACATTTCTGAAGAGGCCCTCAGGTTATATTTAATCTTCTCCAAGTTCAGGTATAACATTAGATCTTTAAGCCATAGAGATGCTTTAGGTGCTATTGAGGATTTCCATTCAAGGAGTATTCTTCTACGTGCTAATAGAGATGCAAAGGCTATACTGTCCTTAGTTTTCCTCCTCATCATTCGGTGGTCAGTTAGTACTCCAAAATGGCAGTTTCTGCACACGGTATCAATACCACGTCCAAGGCCTCAGCGAGGTGTTTGAAAATGTTTGTCCAGTATCCTTGTAGGCGAGGACAAGACCAAAACATATGAGTCATGTTTTCTGGTGACATGTGGCATCTGTTACAGGTATCCGTGACATTAGGGTATATTTTGGAGAGTTTAGAGTTGGTGTAATAGATACGGTGGACAACTTTAAATTGTATAAGATTGAGCCTGGAACAGGACGTACTATTGTTCACTCTCGCTAATGCGCCATCCCAGACCTCATCATCTATTGCTTGGACTAGATCCTCTTCCCAATCTTGTTTGATTTTACCAAGATATGTTTCTGTGTTTATCTACTGCTGGTTAATGATACACAGGACTTTTATATGAAAAGTCATTGTAAAACAGGGCTGTATTTACACTCTTATCTATCATATAATCCCGATAGCAGATGGTGGCTCAGCTAACAGATAACCCTCGTGGATAAAGATCTCTCCGGCTGTAAAACAAAGTGAAGCATCGTGTTTTCCGGCTCAACATTTTTGGGGTTATTGTTTTGCAATCTAGCCGCTCCTCTGGGAGTGAGGGGAGGGGGTTGAGGCTGGGTAAAGTATTGCATTTGGAGATGGGGGAAGTCACTTCCTCCACTCAAACAGAGAGGGGGGGTGGCCTTGTTTACAGATGTGCGGCAGAGAAACAAAGCATGAATTATAGATGCAGCTCTGTGTCGAGCAGGAAACATCTCATGCTATGAAATGTTCACGCTCCTCCGTTTCTCTCTCCTTCAGGCTGTCCATCTCCATCTGACACTCACACTCAGTTTGCTCTGCTGCCTGTCATCAGCCATGCTTCAACCCCACGCAATATGGCTATGGTTTTATTTACACATGGAAGGTGGGTTCTTGACATGGATGCATTAGGAGCTGATAAATAATATTCTATGTGCATTGATGTTCTTTACTTTTGACTAAATGATCATGATTTACAATATTTGAATTGTGCTTACATCAATTGTACACATTAAGACAGTTAAGTGGTACTTCTTAATCTTTTGAAACAGTTATTATGTGGCTCTGGAGAGGCTTAAGTCTGAGAAAAATAACCTGTGGCAATGGCACAAATTAAAATAGAAAATTAAGATAAAAAATCCACAAGCAGAGAAACTAAACTATATAGAAAAAAAATATAAAATAGTGAACAAATATGTACAATTTATCTGTTTAAAATGCTAAATAAATTATAAAAATGTGTAAAATAAATTATAAAACATTCTAAAGTGCAATAAAAACAAGTTGTAAAAGAAAACTAGAAAAGTTGAATTGCTAAAGTATGTTTACAAGTCTCACTTATCAAATAAAATGAGAAGACAACATTTACATATTTTTATTTATTTATTTCCTGCATCAAGAAATGGGATTGTAACCATTTGCACGCCTCTATATTCAATCACCTGTTTGTTCCAGCTTTTATCAGCATTTCTCACTTTCTACAGGATTACATTGAAGTGTTTTCACTCCTCTCCTGACCTTTAATAGCTGGATGATGCACTAGTTAAAGTGAAACAGATGGGAACTCACCCAGAGATCCCTGACAGATGTCTGTGCGAGTGGCTCCGTCTACGATGAACTCGGGGCGCTTGCAGAACTCCTGTTAAGAGAACAAACACAAACAAATTAAAAAAGTATTGCTTGTAGATATCCATTTTACAGGCTCACAACATGAGCAGTGTTTCTCATGCTGACTGCGATGACTGTTCACAGAAAGTACACAATGCATGGATAACACAGGTTTCAACAAGTCACAATGTCATAGCAAACCTCCACAGTATGCTTTAAGATTGCTTTCTGATGCAAAACATACATTTAAACTTCAGAAATAAGTCTCAAATAAGTCTGTTTTAAGTTACAGGATATCTGTTTTACATGCCTATCTTACAGCATTTAATTGGTCACAATAGGTAAAGCACAGGTGTTATTAATAACGCTAACAAGGCTCTGTTCTGTTCTGCTAAATGGAATTCAGCCCAGATTAGTTTAATTGTTTAAAGCTGTGCTTTTCATAGTGTTAGTCGAAATGTCTTCCATTTAAAAAGGTCTATTCATTATTTTTTAAGCTAAATTGACGAGTAACCACTGGTTTACTTGTTCGTTTTCTTATACATATCGGTAATGTCTCTCTGCTTATTATGCAGATTATGAAGTAGTCTCTCCTGTCCGCGATCTTTTTGTTTCTTAGCATTTCCTGCCTCCTAAACCATCTACGACTCGGCATGTATAGCGTGAGAAACCTCCCATGGAGCTATAAAAATAAATATTACATTTAGTCTTGTGCACCACAAACACACACAGATGTAAACACACCATTGTGCACATGGTTGAATTCACAGAAACACTCAATCACACACACACAGGCTACCCAACCTTAATCGATGTAATAAGTAGATGGCAGTGAAAACGTCCCCGGTTTTCAGAAACAGACCAAGTAAAAAGCACAAAGCTAAGCAATGTACTGCTGTGACGGAAACCGCATCAAAAAGTATTTTGGAAACCTAAAAATTAGTATTAGTTTACGATACATTTGGAATATTTTCACTGATTTCTCTTCATGTCATAACTGATATTAGGGAGCTTGAACATGTTTATTGCTAATAGTATATTGCTTAGCTTCCTGCTAGTACTCCTTTCTGGTTCTCCAAAGTAAGAGCGTGCAAACCCCCATCTACTATACTTAAAACACGGACTATAAATAAGTACCCCCATGTAACCCCTCTTCAAAAACCATCCCTTTAAGTTCTCTTTTTCAGGTTCAATCAGAGCACAGATTTAGGGGGAAATGTGAACACCATGTACCCTCTTGTGTGGCGTAAATATTAAAGATCCTGTTGTGCAGGCTGGGCTCATGCATTATAAAACATCAGTACTTTATCGAAAAAACAACACTCCGGGAAGCATTAGATTCACAGCAGCGCATGTTAACACACTAGTGGTCTACACGCAACACACAGCAGCTCTCACACTCAAATAGAAGCCTCAAGAGGAGCTAACACGACCCCCTGAGATCACGACTTGGCTCTCTGCTCTATTACTGCAGCGACTTGTCACGGTATGTGCAAATTGAACCGTAATGGGTCTCTTCAGGGCTGCCGTGATAACACATAATGAAATCAGTTTCACTTTGTTCCGGGGTATTTTTGAGCAGATACAGTCACAGGGATTGATTGGAGGTTTGAGTAGATACTTGGGCCAATGAAAAGCAGGAAGAAGAGTAAGAAACCTCTCCGGCACACTCCTGACTGGTGTTGCGGGGAACATTAAAATGATTTGGACCAATCATCCCGGGCAGAAAGTTTTGTTGCCAAGCAACAGATGAAATTCAAGCAGAGGAAGAGCTGCTTGGGATGATGAAAAAATATTCTAGCAGGTAATAAAAAAGTTGGAGGGATAAAATAAGAGTTGCATGCTCACTGCCAGAGCTATAAGTCAATGTCTGATGGATTTTATGAAATCATCACGTATAAAGTTAGTTTAGCTTTCTCACAAACTCTTAAAGTAAAGGGCCATTGCCTCTTATTTGCATGTTATTGTCCATGTACTTATTATTGGATATACTATACAGTATGTTAAGTTTACATATGATTATAAATTGCCAAAAAATACAAAAAAGGGCCCATTATCTAAAATGTTCAAGATTCAACAATCGTAGGATTTATTTTGCACAATTTTTAAGCTTGAAAGGTCATCTATTGTGCAATATCCACTTTTTCATGTCTTTTATACTTAAATATGTGTCCCTGTGTAAAGAGATTTGGACGCTTCTGGAAAAAAGATTCCATCTCATTTTCTCTGAAAATCAGATGATCAGATTTTGGCCACTATGTGTTTTTTTGGGTTGTGCAACCATTAGCCAATAACCAACAAAGGTAACACCCGCCCACCTTATCACCTGAATCTCCTCCCAGAGTGTTCTTTTTAACCAAATAGAGTGGCGAAGTCACGCCCATCTACTTCCGGTCCATGGGACCTAATTTTGGAAAAATAATGTATTGAAGTCAATGGAGAGAGAAAACTTATCTTTCAATCCCATTTGAATTGTGCCACGAATTACACATATGATGTTTGTCAATCTTAAAAAATTATTTCCATGTCAAAAAAGTCACAGTTTGTCGTAAAACTGTTGGAAAATACGCAACTAGAAAGACTACAAATTCCAGAGTCGCGTAAGTGATGTCACAATTGTTTTCCTCCACTAAGAGATAGCTAAAATCAGCGCCATATAGATAGAATCTATCTATAATAATATAGATAGAATCTATCTATATGGCGCTGGCTAAGATAAGATAACTTTAACAAGATGCCTGTGCTTAGTACCAGGTTGTTATCATACCAGCAATGGGTCTTGCTTGTTCTTTCGCTTCCCGTCTGATGAAAGGACCAGGAGTGGCTGGATCAAGTTAGCTACCTAGCTAGTAGCTAGCACGTTAGTTAGCATTACAGCCATATCATTTTTATTAGCCTTAACATGAAGTAACCCAACATGTTAAACAGTAAGAGTAGTAGCCATATTTCGTGAACCCTTTGAAGAGTACTGTCACCGGTGTGATCATTCTATAATACACAATTTAAGCCCGGGGGAGAAATGCTAACGCTAGCATCGGCGATCGCCGATCTTTTCTACTTCATGCTATCTGCACAAATGGTTGACATTAAACATTAAAAAGACCAGGCAGTTCAGAGAGAATCAAAGGAAGGCAGGCAGGCAGCTTTGCATGACATTCTTCTGGACGTGTTTCATTCTGGTGATAGAATACATGCCAACCTTTCCAAATCCAAAAGAGGTAGGTTTGCGCGCGCAAATGTGCACGCTCAAATTAGGTAATCAGAAGAAATGGAACCCCAGTAATTACAGGTATAAACCATGTATTTAACATATATTGCATCATTTTATGCATTTTTCAGATAAAAGTGGTAGTTTGGTAAACAGTGCCAACGACATGTCTGGTCTGTAAAATGCCCGAAAAGTAAAAGAATGGGAGATAAATATCCCAAAGTCTCCACATTTTATTATATTTTCCAATGTGTTTCTCTTCCTCTTTCAGTTGAGACAGTGTAGATGAAGGATGTGTCAGGATGTAGAACTCTTGTGTAAAAATTGGATAAAGCCAGGTTCATATTCTTGTTTCATGTTGTTGACATATTAGAGTCAAAGGTTTGCACAGAGCAAAATATCTTTGTGTTGCGCCATAAATCAGAAAATACTGCATTAAAAAAGGCATTTCCTGCATTTTTCTACTGATAAATTGTGATATAAATAATGTACAGGTTTTCAGATTGCTGTAGTTCACTAAACAGAGACATTAACGACATGTTTGGTGTTGAAAATGTCAGAAAAAGTATCCCCAAATCTCAAAATTGTATTATATTGTGTGTGTGTTTGTGGTCCTCTTTCAGTTGAGACACTGTAGGTGAAGGATGCTTCAGGAAAATACTTTTTTGTTTTACTTGCAAAATTATCTTTTAAATTGACAAACATCATATGTGTAATTCGTGGCACAATTCAAACCGGATCGAAAGATAATCTTTCTCTCACCATTGACTTCAATACATAATTTTTTCGAAATAAGGTCCCATGGAGGTCCACCGGAAGGGGAGGGACTTTGCCTCTCTATATCTCTCAGAGGGGCGTGGCCAGCAGCAGCTAATTAGCATTTATAGCCAAAATCAACACTTTTGCCGCTGGGCTGAAACAGAGGGATTTATGGGATGCTACAATTATCTGTTTTGTATTTGTAGCCAAACACTTCAGAGACATGTTTTGGGTATATCTGAGACCTATAATATATTGTTGAAAAAGAGTATAATAGCGGCCTTTGAAACACTATCCACTCCAAACAAAACTCTCTTAAAAGTCTGAATTGTTAAGAAATATCCCAGCTACGACACATTTCCAGCCAAAATTAACCAGACCCCTCCATTTCTCACCGTGGGCCTCATCCAGCGGACGCCGGAGGTCTTGGCGGATCTGGGGCCGAGCTCGTCGAATCCCAGAGACGATGTGGCACAAGCGAACAAATGATCCTCAAACAGCCTCCTGCCCTGGAGGCACTGGGCCTTCAGATTCTCGTAGTCCTGACCCAGAAACTTCACAGCCTTGTGATTCTGTCCCAGACCTTCATCACGGTCCCACTGGCTCCTCAGCTTGGCGGCCATACCCGTGGCGACAATGGGCTCCTCCATCCTGAGCTTTTGAGAGGAACTGTAGGGTCGGCTGTCACTCTCTGTCGGATGTTTGTAGGTGTGAAACTACAATACGATGTTAGGATGTCTCAATGATTAATGTGGCAACTGTGTAGCTTCAGTTTTAATGTAAAGCCCCCGACAGTGCTTATCTGATATGATGTGCTAATGGCTTCAAGGCTTGATCATAAATCAGAATGAAACATTAGTGGCCATTAGGAAGCTATGAAATATTGACTAGGCTGCTGCTTCGTTGCGGTACGTGTGGTTATGTTGTAGCTGGGTGCTTCAAATGCAATAACAATCACAAGTGTAGGGGCTCCAAATGCAGAAGATTAAAAGGCTCTGGAGAGAGATGGCAAAGGCAGATCGTCCCAGTGAGAACCAATCGCTTTTCTGACGAGATGTCAACAGGAGAGTGGCGCGTCCTGGTCCCAACAGCAGATACAATCTAAAAGAAAGAAGTAAAAACATTTGAAAGTATGCAGAGATGACAGTCCAAAAATAGCTCTACCTGGACAAAAGCAACACCTATATGTAACGTCTATACAGTATGTGCATTCAGGGCTTAAAAAGGCAAACGAGCCCTGTCTATTTCTTTTCAGTCAACTATATACACACATGCCAAAGGGATTAGTCACAATAGGCAGGGCCGTGCTACTTTGACTGTGTGCCACTGAATGTGTACACGGTGTCAGTCAGAAGCGAATCAGAGTAAATGTTTAATCAGAAGAGGTGTATGAACGAAGTGGTGGATGGACGCTCTGTGCATGAAGGGGTGGGGGGGTTATTCATTGTGCACAGGGCTAAAAAAAGAGTGCTGTATGCGTGAATGTTGATGAACAATGAAGGCAGCTCTAACCCAGAACAAGCAAAAGCTCTCTGAGGCTCTTTAATTAAGCAGAACCATGGAGGAGGAAGTGTAAACTGTCATTATTACCGTGGAAGCTCTTGACAGAACTGGAGCTTTGCAACAGTTCATCTCTTTGTCTTCTTAGATTTGCCTCCTCCAGTCGCTTTTTATTTTATTTCTAACACACAGAAACAGATGGTTTATTTTTAACTTCTCTCCTTTTTTTTCAAATGTATTTCAGCCCTGTCTCTTTTTTACTACAGCGATTACACTATCCAAGCTGAACACTCTTCCTGTTTCAAGTCTCAGCCGCCTGTCAACAGAAGCTAAAAAATAGTTTGGCTCTTATTGACTCAGAGGAACTCCACTGCTCTCCGTGCACCACACCCATTACAAACATCTCTGTTTCACTGAGTGAAAAATGTGCCTGCTAACAGAACATGTGGTTACGACATCACATTAAGATGTTCAACTTTGCAGACTGCAGTTATAATGAGAAATTTAATATGATTTCCATTCCTGCTGCTGCTAGCAAAGGAGAGTACTACAACTACTACTACCTAGCATGAGTACTACAATTATTTTAACTGTTACAAGGCAGTACAGTAGTGCTAGCAGTTGTAGCACTGCTAATGCTACAACTCCTACTTTCACTCTAAAATATATAAAAGTTTATTATTCTGTCATTTCTATGAGTTATTATTAAACCACAACTACAGATACTTTAGCTGTCATTAATATGTTGCTATTAAACACAATTATCTTTTGTTACAGACCAAAATGTGCAGTACTGTTGAATCAACTATCAAAACCGAGGAGTGGAAGCTGACATTAGCATTGAATTTGTTTGCAGATATTTACTTTCTTAATCAAACATGAGAATTTGGCCTATATTTTCAGACTTGTGTATTCTTCAAATTAAGGTTTATTAAAAATCCCTTTGGCATTGGTAACATAAATAATGTAATACTTATTAGTAATATGGATTCTTTGTATAAATTACCATGACTTCCATCACCACCACCACATGTCGTTTTTTATGTTTAGTCATAAATATTCAGCACAAATAGCCAACATAGTCGCATTTTAAGGCACCAAATATACCTAATGCTGAGTAGTTTATAACTAACAGTTATTAAAGGAAATTAACTCATGTACCCAACAACAAAGTAAAACATATTCCATAGGCCTACATCCCAAACATTTGGTGGTTTTCATCTTGGCTGCGTGTTATCGGGGCGCACTCTGCCCATCGTTAGTTCAATCTGGCTGTAATTAATATTTAATTTAGCCTTGCATGGGAAATACACTTCCATGAAACCCCTCACACACACACACACACACAGATATCCTCCACCTCAGTGCAGGTAGTGACATCTATGGGAAATGACAAGCAGGAGACTACACATCCAGACACAAAGAGAAACCAACAGCTATGTAAAAACAACACAATTCCAATACAGAAAAAATATTCAAGACTCTGCATGAGCTTATTCAAATAGATAAGTAGCCTAAATATGTGTGCACCCACACCATAAAATAGTTTGTTTTTGTATTATGTCAAAGCTATTGCATTAGGTTACATACATAAAGTGTTATTCTTAGCTTGTGTTATGCTATTTGATCAATGATAGGCAGCTTTAAATGGAAAAATATGCAGAATGACAGACACACAGGGGCCACATGGGTTTACCAGAAGTCAAACAAGGATACAAACGTCAATACAGTATATGTCACTACTGCTTTTCTGCTGATGTGAGTCTGTGTCCAATGTGGTTTCCTTCTCACGACACACACATGAACTCAAACTGCTTATGCTGCTTGCAACTAATGCCTGTGGGTGTGTGTGAGCTCCAGTGTTCAGGTTCAGGTTCAGGTTATTTATTTGTACCCGTAGGTAGATTCTGTTTGCAGAGAAAAAGACAAGGGTTCCATCCTAACACTACAAATAAACACAAACAACAGACACATCTCTAATAAAGGACTGGAACAAAGTGTAAACAAGTGTTTATGTTGTGAGTAAGCATTTCTGACCTCCCTCTGGTGTATTTCTGCATGCAGAGTTCATATTCCAAGCACTTTGAAATGAGATACCAAAAGTGTTTGTTTCAAGCTATGGGGGAAAAATAGATCTGCAGAGCAACTAGACACAAACAGTGTCCACAAAAGAGAGAAAATGCTGACTTTTGGAGTGATCTTTATCAAAGTAGGAAGCAGAGACTCGCTTCAAACACACTTAAATATAAGGTGTCCATGTACTATTTTGAGTGGTTTAATTATCGTGGATATCAAGCCATTTAAGACTGTTTATACCTGTGCATGGCTCACACAGATTAGCATGATGGTAGGTGTGGTCCCTGAGAGGAGAAACAGACAGTGTCGTCAGATTGCAACTTTCTCAAGTTGACCAACATGAGCAGCTGTTCGACATTTTTTCGCTTCACCTCGCCTCCCTCAAATCAAAGATCGTCTCTGCATACAGTGAGCAGAATGAAATCGAAAACAAGAGGTTTTGCGCAACTAAACGCATTGGCACATATATCACCGTTTAATGGAGTCGCGAAAGTTGTACCCGACTGCTAAGAGTTTGCTTTAGATGGGTGGTAGCAGTTTTCACAACACAAACTTTAAGATCTCCTCATTGGTGTTTTCTAAAAGTTCAGGCTATGTCAAAAGCATTTTAAGATCGCTTCCAGCAGCGCGACACAAACCATACTGGATGAAGGAATGTTATAATTACCTTTCCGGACGTTTCCTTAAAAATGCAGTTATTTAGACATTCAATATTCAATTTGGCTTTCCTTCCATGCTTAGCGTGGGCTTTACTCCCTCCTCTGCTCTCTAACAGCGTATTTCTTTAGAAACGCCCTGCTTCTGCCCTGATCTATATGATCAAATGTGCAGACCTCACACTGCGTCTGCGCAATGCCCGCTAGTCATAAAACACACACCGAAGAGGAGGGCTTTATTCTCGCAGCTTTCATGAAGTTGATTCGCTCCTGATTTCTGCCCAAAGTTGTGCAGTGTTGCCGGGTTGAATAATAACTCACTGTAGGTAATTACATTGACATTATATAAAGTTTTCACAATAAAAAACAGTATTGTGCCTGGAAACCTCCCCTTTTTCAGTGCCTGAATGTGACAAATGATAGCCTATGTAAAATGTTGATCTTCTGATTTTAAATTCCGTTATCCTTAATTTTAGAGGAAAATATTGCCCTTAATGTACAACATTATTGCAGATTTCAGCATCGCCTAATGATATCAAGCATCCCCCCTCTGCTCCCCCAACTGTGCAGCTCTGTGATTGGCAGAGAGACGGGGGCACACAGCCTTATTCAAGTTGTCAACACTGACCTCTAGTGGCTAGAGGTAATAAATGCAATGTTCTCTTTTTTTTCGGACTTCATGTCCCAGCAGTCAGTGCGGCAGGATGCTTCCCGTCATGCTTTGCGCTAGTCCCGTTTCTGCGCCACTCGCGTGTTTTCCGCCGTTGTTTCATTGAGAGAACCTGAACATGGCATCCGACGGACCACCGGGTACCGACCAAGCCCCGTCCGATTTGGGCACTGCTATTGCAGCTTTGAACTCATGGACCCACCGGGAGCTTCAGACCAAGCTGGCGGAGATTGGAGCGCCTACGATGGGTAAGAAAAAAAGGGAAGACGGAGAGCCATGCTGGAAGAAGGACTGTGTTTAGCTAACAGTAGCTAGCTAGTTGCTAATGTTAGCTAGCAAAACGCAACACTATCGTTCAATGAGTTGAGGCTAGGCCTTAGTTGTGTTTACAGTCTTTAAACGGTATATTCAGTTTCTTACTATGCAATACATATACCAATATACTGTGTTTAAGCAGCACTAGAAACATACATACTGTGTTGTAGCTAAACAGCTATCAATGTAGCTGTTAGCTTGCAGGCTAACTTGAATAAAGGGTCATCTAAGCACTTACATTATAAGTCAGTTTAGTGTTGATAGATAGATACTGTATTGCTCCCAAATTGGGAAATATTTTGATACAGCAGCAGTGTTTTCTGGCATTACAATATTTAAAAGGTGAAATAAAGTATAAACATAGCTAAATGAAAACATGACAACATCTAAATCAATTATTCAATACACTTTTGAAACTTGTAAAACACAACCAAAATGCAAAGTGCCCGTGCAATGTTACAAGTACAATGTACATTTCTTCCTGTAATTAAGTTGGTTTGTCATTCCTCAGGTCTCAGAGAGGAGTTGACTGACAGACTGAAGGGCTACATGATTCAGGTAAACTGCAAACTCTGTGCCTTAAGTGTTAACCATGCATGCTGAAAATAATACACCTTTATTGTACAATCTAAGTCTTAGATACTGATCAAAAACTCTTAGCTCAAAAGTATTTGTGCGTCCTTCTCTCTGCAGACTGGGATCCTCGTCAGCAAACATAAGGATGACAAGTCAATGGGCTCCCAGGTAAAAGCCGAATATGTGTGAAACTTTTTATATGTTCATAATTGTTTTATCATGCACCATGTTCTCACATTTTTGATGTAAATATAGTCGGACCACACACCCACCCACACCCACCCTGCTGTTGGTTATCAGCTGTGTGTGTATTGGCTCCGGATGCTGCATATTCAAATTGCATGATATATTTGCGTTTTACACCTTTTTAAGGAAGTGTAATGATGTGTAGCTCAAATATTCCACGCTTAAATTAAAACCCTTCAGTCATTTCTAAATTTCTTGCCAAAACAGTTACAATTTGTATGTGTGTTGTCACTGTCTGCTATTCCTAATTTGGGGACAGAAATGCTGCAATGAATAAAGGAATCTCCAGTGTCAAACATCATCCTCACTGTCTCTTGTGTTCCCTCCTCTCCAGATGCACGGTATCCCTCCCTTGCCCCCGATGCCCATGCCGCCCATGCCTCCTGGTATGGGCATGCTCCAGGCTATGAGCATGATGCCCGGGGGTCCGCCTCCTCCTGGCATCCACATGGGCATGGAGCCCCTGGGTATGTGCCCTCCTGGCATGTCTCAGGACGATCAGCTGAAGATGGCCCAGCACCGAGCGGCCATGGTGCTGCAGCAGGAGGAGAGAGCCAAGCAGCAGGTCAAGTTCTATTCCCTTTAAACACAATACTAAGGTGCAATCAGTTGTGAGCTTGTAGGATTTTAAAACAACAAATCACTTTTTTTCTCAATGTATTTACAATTGGCAAACAGTACCGGCTTCTGTAACAAACACTGTTAGAAAATAGTTTTATCTAAAAAGGTTAAAAATCTCACCTCACAACTAAAACAGTTATCCCTTTTTCTTACACATTCGATACTCATTTTAATAACAATGTATTTAAAGTGCCATCTCCTTTGTTCTTATATCAGGCAGCGATGATGGAACACGAGCGCCATCAGCCTGGCGGCCAAATGAGAGGTAAGTCAGCGACGTCTTCATAATATTCACACATCTTACCCCTGCTGCACGTTTCCTTACCCATGAAAAGTGTTTTTTGCACGATTTCCTTCTACTTTACCAACAAAGTAAAGAGAGTTCATCACCTGCAATCTGTCTCGCTGCAGGTATGGATCCTCGTGGGCCGCTGCCTCCTGGTGTCAGTATGATGCCGACCCAGAAACAGAGAGTGCCCCCCCCTCCAGGAGAAGATAACAGAGAGGTAAGGAGAACCCCCCACACTGACCTCCCAGCCTTCAAAACACTGACCCAGTCTCTTCTTCACAGGCTAGCTTTTAATGTCATAATTGTGCTTTTTCTGCTAGTTTTTTTTCTGTTGCCCTTTTGACGGCACTCGTACATACATTAGTTTCCTAAATCAAGCAAAAAGTTGGATTGAGCCTCAGCTTTAAAATAAAGATACATTTCTAGTGTTAATGTGGACCAAGATTGTTCTTCAGGGATCTTTTCTTGACTGACCGCGGTAGACTCCCTGTGCTACTATCTTAGTTACAAACTTGTTTTGCTTCCACTACAGGCCTGGCAGAATGAGGAGGTCAGCATCAGCGGACCAAAGATCCCTCAGGCTCTGGAGAAGATCCTCCAGCTGAAGGAGATCAGACAGGAGCAGCTCACCGACCCCGCCGGTCAGAACCGCTGATCATCAATGTTTTACTGAAACACATGCATTTGTCCGAGTGTTACGGCCCGTCCACACACAGGCATGAACAAAATCTTTCAAAGCTTCGCCCATTCACTTGAATGGGGTGACGTAGAAGATTTTTAATCTTCGCCGAACTGCATTGTGGGGAGCGGAGCATGGCTTTGCAAGCATCGTGAGCATCAAAAGTTGAGCAATGTTCAACTTTTGATGCTTTCGAAGCTGGCATCAGCCAATCAAATCCCGTTTATGCAAATCCCGCCAGTACAAGCGCTAGCCAATCAAACCGCGTGCAAGCTGGGAGAGCCAGACCGCAGTTCATTTCCTCATATTCCAAACGAGAAATTACGGTAGCAAATCACCCGGTTCTTTACGACCAGAACTATTTACCGGGATACAAACCGGAGGAACCAGGCATGGAGGGAGGTGGCAGAGACAGTGGGTGAAACTGGTAGGTTTTCGTCTGTTTGGGGATTTTATATCCAGTTTACTTCGTTTTAACATTGCTATTGCTTTGTATGTCGGGGGCGGGAGATTCATGTGATTGGTTGTGAAATCGCCAAGCTTCAGACACGCCCAGCATCAAGATTTTTCAAGATGTTTTTTCATGCCTGTGTGTGGACGGGCCGTTAGACACCAGGATGCTGTTGGTGTGTTTTAGCATTCTGGTTCTTATCTGATGTGTCCTTTCTCTTCCCGCCAGAAGAGGAAGACGATGAGGCCGGAGACATGGACCTGAACAACTCCTCTGCTCCGGTCATGTCCGAGACAGAAGACGACGACAGTCAGATATCTAAGAAAGATGTAAGTCTTTTTCTCTCACCATCTGCCACAGTAACTTGTTATATCTCAGTTGTTTGTTCTCAAATATAGTCATTCTGAGACCAATAGAGCATAAAATCACCGTTCCTCAAACTAACCTCAACTGAAGAAATAGGCCCGTGCTGTAATCCCAAGATATAAAAACACTAGGGAAGCTCGGACGATATCGGCCGATACTCACTCTCTGCCGATCGATCGGTGCTCTCTAAAAATGCCGATCGCATGACGTAAAATGATGACGTAAAATACACGACACTTTTCTCTGTGCGCGGCTAAACAAGCTAGCCAAAATGGCTTCACCAGCTCCACCCGCTGTGACGGACCGGTGAGCGGAGCAAAACACACACTAAGAGTTAGACCTAACACACTTAGCTATGTTATCTACCTCTGGAACCTCTTACAAGCTAAACTAGTTATACATATATTTATTCTTCACTGTCGAGTCACTCGACTGGATCAGTGAGAGCGCTTCCGCTCATTTCTCCCGTGTTATCCAAAGTGAATGTAAACTTGAATAATGTACTTCATCTGAATGTAATAATGATGTTGTTTGTGGAAGCTCCAGTGAACGAGCATTAACTGAGTTTTAAACATCACTTTAAATGGAAGATCCCCATAGGCCCCGCCCACTCGATCGGTATCGGCCGATACTGATCCCGGCGATCGGAGCATCCCTAAAAAAGACAAAACGATGCAGAAAGAGCCATGTTTTTCCTAGATAGGTTTTTAATGCAAATGATTTGAACTCGTAATTTTACAATTAACCAACCAACCATCCCTTTAGAAAAACCGCAGGCGCAGAAACCGCAAGAAGAAGAGCAAGAAGAAGCGGGCGCTGGAGAAGAAGGAGCACGCGGAGCAGCAGCAGGAGGAGCAGAAGAAGGATGGCAGCGATAAAGATAAAGACTCAGAGAAGGAGAAGGAGAAGGAGCCCGAGGTGGAGATCGAGTACATCGCAGAGGAGCCGGAGATCTACGACCCCAACTACATCTTCTTCAAGAGGATCTTCGAGGCGTTCAAGGTACCTACAGAGAACTATGGACCTCCTGTACTGCATTTGAATATGATTTCCTTTCTGCTGTAACGCTGCTTTGTTTTCTCTCAGCTGACCGACGACGTGAAGAAAGAGAAGGAGAAGGAGCCCGAGAAGACGGAGAAGCAGGAGACCGCCGTGCTGCGGAAAAAGGGCTTCGAGGACGAGAGGAAAGACAGCGACGACAGTGATGATGTTCGTATCCCTCTCTTTATCAGAATATACCTATGAAGAAAACCCCCTTGCATGTGTAAACGTTTTCCATTCTGTTACAGGACATGAGACCAGATTTACCCAAACTGTCCAAGAAGAAGATGAGGAGGATGAACAGGCTGACTGTGGCTGAACTCAAACAGGTGAATACGGCAAATAGACACAGGGTTCGTACGGTCATTAAAAACCTGGAAAAGTCATGGAAATTCAAAAAGCTAATTCCAGGCCCTGGAAAAGTTACGGAAAACAATATTTCCCCCAAAGTTTTAGAAAAGTCATGGAAATGTAACTAAAGTTGCATCAAATATAATTAATATTTGATCTAATCGCCGAAATAGTAATACTATAATGATAATAAATACTGTATCGTAATGAAACGTGAAATGGCTTTTAACTGACGAGGTGTTTTGCTGGTGAGAGATTTTAGTTGCGTTAGCGTGTAGAAGCTAGTAAGCTACTATTTGATTTGTTTTAGATAGGCACGACATGTTTCATATGCAGACCTTATTTTCCTGTTCCATGTTCAAATAAACCATTTTCAGTGGAACGCCGAGAAAGAGTCATTTCTTTGGTCATGGAAAACTAGGTAAAGGTCATGGAGAAGTCATTGAAAACTAGCTAAAGGTCATTGAAAACTAGCTAAAGGTCATTGAAAACTAGCTAAAGGTCATTGAAAACTAGCTAAAGGTCATTGAAAACTAGGTAAAGGTCATTGAAAACTAGCTAAAGGTCATGGAGAAGTTGGTGAAAAAGTGTATGACCCCTGTCTATGCAATGCGTCAGTGTCTCTGTTTCTGTATGACTTTATGCACTGTGGTTGGGGTGATTCACCATTTTTGAAAAGCTTTTTTTAATCCCACCATTGACTCCTCATTACTCTTAACCGGCCAAAGTGACTTTCTGGCCAGTGACTATGCTTAAAACCAGGCTTGTGTGGTCCGGTGCAGGCCACATTTTGGGGTTTTTCGTGGCTCAAACCAGACATTGATAGAAGGATTAATTCAATACCTGATATAATATTGTCTACGAAAGTAAGCGACGATACCGGATAACAAAAATCCTAGTTTTTGTGTTCTCCACCACCATCTTGTTTCTAAAAAAGTAGGAGCCATAATTCAAAGATGCACTTATTTATTATTATTTACCTAAAATCCTCCTAAGATAGGTTTAATGAAATCTTCAGTCAAAGGTAGAAAGTGAAACACCTAAGTGGAGTTGTCATTTTGTCCTTTGCGATCATTAATTAGTCCATTTGATCTATTTGACTACTTGTGTTTATCATTTTTTTCGCCCGTTTTCATTACTATCAATAACCCTAAATTCCTCTGTGTCTTCCCTCCAGCTGGTGGCCCGTCCAGACGTGGTGGAGATGCACGACGTGACGGCCCAGGAGCCCAAGCTGCTGGTGCACCTGAAGGCCACCAGGAACACGGTGCCGGTGCCCCGCCACTGGTGCTTCAAGAGGAAGTACCTGCAGGGCAAGAGAGGAATAGAGAAGCCCCCGTTTGAGCTGCCCGACTTCATCAAGAAAACTGGAATCCAGGAGATGAGGGAGGCGCTGCAGGAGAAGGTGGGGCACCAGAAGGACATTTGTTAGTTTCAAACTAAAATAGAGACACCATTTCTTCATTTTTGATACTTTTCTGTTCACAGGAAGACGCCAAAACCATGAAAACCAAAATGAGGGAGAAGGTTCGCCCCAAGATGGGAAAGATCGACATCGATTACCAGAAGCTGCACGACGCCTTCTTCAAATGGCAGATCAAACCCAAGCTCACCATCCACGGAGACCTCTACTACGAGGTTTGTTTTTTTAGTCATTCTTATCCTGTTGTGAAAGAACAGCTTTTGCTGTTTTAAAAAAGGCCCTCTGAGTGACCTGTGTCTTTGTGTCTCTGCAGGGAAAAGAGTTTGAAACTCGTCTGAAGGAGAAGAAGCCGGGAGATCTCTCCGATGAGCTGCGCATCGCTCTGGGCATGCCGGTCGGACCTGTAAGTTTAACTAAGCAAAGCACAATAAACCAACACCTACCACAGAAAACGCATTGAAAACCAGTGCAATTTCTCTTCAAATAAGGCCTAATACATACTGTATAGCACAGGGTTCTTACGGTCTTTAAAAACCAGGAAAAGTCATGGAAATTCAAAATGCTAATTCCAGGCCCTGGAAAACTTATGGAAAACAATATTTTTCCCAAAGTTTTGGAAAAGTCATGGAAATGTAACTAAAGTTGCATCAAATATAATTTATATTGTATCTAATCGCCGAAATAGTAATACTATAATGATAATAAATACTGTATCGTAATGAAACGTCAAATAGCATTTAACTGACGAGGTATTTTGCTGGTGAGAGATTTTAGTTGCGTTAGCGTGAAGAAGCTAGTAAGCCTATTTGATTTGTTTTAGATAGGCACGACATGTTTCAGATGCAGACCTTATTTTCCTGTTCCATGTTCAAATAAACCATTTTCAGTGGAACGCTGAGAAAGAGTCATTTCTTTGGTCATGGAAAACTAGCTAAAGGTCATTGAAAACTAGGTAAAGGTCATTGAGAAGTCATTGAAAACTAGGTAAAGGTCATGGAGAAGTCATTGAAAACTAGGTAACGGTCATGGAGAAGTCATTGAAAACTAGGTAAAGGTCATGGAGAAGTCATTGAAAACTAGGTAACGGTCATGGAGAAGTCATTGAAAATCATTGGTGAAAAAGTGTATGAACCCTGGTATGCATATATCTCCTGCAGTGGCATGTTATTGTGTTGTTATGCTCTTCGTGTTGCTGCTGTTCAAAGCATCCAAAAGGCTGTGGAGATGAATCTGTAAATGGAGACCTGACCAAACATGTCGTTTTTCTGAAACACAATAAGAGGAACACGACAGTGAGCTGACGTTGTCTTTTCTTCCTCTCCAGAACTCCCACAAGGTGCCCCCCCCCCTGGTTGATCGCCATGCAGAGGTACGGCCCCCCTCCCTCCTACCCCAATCTCAAGATCCCCGGACTCAACTCCCCCATCCCAGAGGTAAGACCACTACTCCTACTGCAGAGGGACCATTCTAGCAAAACACTCTTCATTCAGAATGACAAACGTGTCGGTATGTTTAATGTTTCTCTCCGTCCTCTCACTCTTCCGTCTCTCAGAACTGTACGTTTGGTTATCACGCCGGGGGCTGGGGGAAGCCGCCCGTAGACGAGATGGGCAAACCTCTCTACGGGGACGTGTTCGGGACCAATGCTATAGACTTCCAGGTAACGGACCACACACACACACACACACACACACACACACACACACACACACACACACACACACACACACACCCTTAACGGCGGGGTTCTTAGTCGAACTTTAAATATCTTGTAATATGAAAGATGTGCTTTCTTTGAAAATGTATATACGGCACATTAACATCACCAATCTTTGGTTCTGTGGCTCAAATACATTTATATGGTGTAACTGAAAAATATGACAAGATCAACATTTTTAAAGCTTTAAATAATCATATTGTCTGATGTGAACAAGTGTTTTCCCTTAATTTGTACCTCAAAATGTGCTCAAGTCCTGTAACAACTGCACTTTTAGCTCAACAAAGATTGTACACACACACACACACACACACACGTTAATTGCCCGATTTTGGCCGGATGTGTGTAATAATATGTACATTTTTGTGCTCAGGCCAAAGCGGAGGAGGAGGAGGTGGATCACGCGCCGTGGGGAGAACTGGAGCCTTCAGACGAGGAGTCATCGGAGGAAGAGGAGGAGGAGGAGAGCGATGAGGAGAAGCCGGACGAAACTGGGTTCTTCACACCGGCAGACAGGTACCTTAACTTTAAGGGATAGTTCACACTTTAATTAAGAAGAATGTACAGTACAGTAATCTATAAGTGCAAGAAATAACTGATGAATGACATTACCAATATGTGCCGTGTCATTATAAGATCAACTGGTCTGTGGCTTTCATACAAACACACACTAAAGGTGAATCTCTAATGAAGGACATGTATAAATAAACTCATTGTTTCTGTTTCAGTGGGCTCATCACCCCCGGGGGCTTCACGTCGATCCCTGCCGGCATGGAGACGCCCGAGCTGATCGAGCTGAGGAAGAAGAAGATCGAGGAGGCCATGGACGGGTGGGTGTCGCTCTTCAACGTCACAGCAATCCTGCGTGTTTTCATTTCCCATTTACATGATACTAACACCCGTGTTATGGAATACCAACCAAATACATTTCTATAAGGTGTATAAGTGAACAGATACACCAGTAACATCGTGAATGGTATTGAAAGAAATATTCATATCAATTGAAAAAAAGTGTTATTGCTACATTTTACTGTCCAAATGTCACCTATTGTAAATCTGTATTAGTGTTTATGAATGAAATACCATGTCTTCTCCATCACACAGCTAATTACCAATGATAATGTCAGCTTTAGCCTTGTTGCTCTCGTGTTTACAGAAACGAGACCCCTCAGCTGTTCACGGTGCTCCCGGAGAGACGCACGGGCCCCGTAGGCGCCGCCATGATGGCTTCAACTCACATCTACGACGTGTCGGGGGTAAGAACTCTCTTGTATGATAGGATAGCTTGTGCGTGTGGGTTTGTAGAAATGTCCTAACAAAGTCAACTTCCATCTAATGGGAGATACAGGGTCCCGTGATTCAATAAAGTCAGACTGAAGCATCCTTTGTGCGTCAGTCAATCCTCTCAGTAAATACAGAGCTGAATCCCAGATCAGAGGCACGCTAAAGGCTCTTGTTTTCTCTCAGTGATTGTGATAAATGTTATTTTTTCATGAAACATGAAATGTTTTAGCTCTATGAAGCCTGATGTACTTATATGATTCTGTTTTCTTCAAGTTTGTATCTTGTTGGTCGAACGCACTTATTGTAAGTCGCTTTGGATAAAAGCGTCAGCTAAATGTAATGTTATCGTATCGTAACTTCTGTCTGTTGCCATTCCTTAAATCTCTTCCTCTGTGTTTCTCCGTCCCTGCAGGCCATGGCGGCCCGTAAGATGGGTGGAGGGCAGGAGTCTCAGGGCGTGGAGGTGGCGCTGGCCCCCGAGGAGCTGGAGCTCGACCCCATGGCCATGACGCAGAAGTACGAGGAGCACGTCCGAGAGCAGCAGGCGCAGGTGGAGAAGGAGGACTTCAGCGACATGGTGGCCGAGCACGCTGCCAAACAGAAGGTACACACACGTTATTTATCTAGCACAGCAGCATTACAACGCTTTGAACTGAATAGTTCTAACAGTTTTATATCTTTTTTTTATAACTACTTCAAACAACATTTAAAACCAATAGTATTCTTGGTAGTTAATGTCATGCAAGTGTGATAATTCTCTGATATCAGGTACGATTCAGTTGAGATTCATCCATATGTTATGCTTGAATGACGTACTGCGGTTTCCCGAATGTTACTGTCGGCTGGTTCAAAGACAATATTTTCCCTTTCTTCAATAACAGATGACCGGCTTGGTTAAAAATAGAACAGCTGGTCATATTTAAAAGCCCCATGTGATAAACTAATGACTACTTGTGTAGGAAAGACATGACTCAACAAGTCCTTTATTCAGAAGCTAGAGGGAAGTAGGAGTCTGCTAAAGCAACGTGGTTTAGAGTAACTTCAGTTGTCCCTTTTTTTCATGGTGACTTTTGAACCTTAATAACTATTTTTCTTGCTCTCTCTCACCATACAGCAAAAAAAGAGGAAGGCCCAGCCGCAGGACACGAGAGGCGGCGCCAAGAAATACAAAGAGTTCAAGTTCTAGAGCGGAAACACCGAGACGACGCGGCGCTGCGAGAGACCGAGCCACCACGGGAACCGAATGAGGAAGTGTTGTTCTCAGATTTTAACTCCGGAGGATGTAAACATCGATCATCTGTCAGACCAGTAACTGTACACACAGTTTTGTTCCTTTTTTTAAAACTATAAATAGATGATTCATGGCGTAAGTCACATGGCGTTTCCTGTTTGACCCTACGTCTTTTTTCATTGTATCCATTTTTTTCTGTTTTTTTTGTAAATAAACGAATGATGACAAGCGTTCACAACCACTGTGCCTCTGGTTTTCATTTGATTGCTTTTGGGGGGGGGGGTTACTGTAAATGTTCACTTGCATTAGATAATCTGTTGCTGCTGCCAAGCCTTCGTCAGCTGATCCAGTCACAAGCAGAGTGACCCATTTACAGTCAACCGTAAGCAATGAGGAAATATAATTAAACGGTTACCTTGAAGAGTAACATTTTAATTATTTTGGTTAACGGCTAATCCATATTTTCCTCTGACTCAGGCGTATTGCCAAGTAGCTTACACATGCAAGGAATTAGCTTTGATGTATAATGGTGCATACATAAATACAGTAAGAGGAAATCAGTAACTTTTTTTAAAACAATCTTAAATGCTTGCAAGAAATATAAAGAAAATGATATACCAGAATGATAAATTACTCAAATAAAACATTTGCACTATATCAGATTGTAGAGTAGGAAAGCTGCATTTTGTATAGAAGAGGTAAAGGAAAGGTTTATGATTTTATTTATTTTATTTCCTATTTTGTCACTTGCCAATAATCAAAATATTCACACCACCACATTGTGAATTGGGGTATTATGGAAATAATACCTTTTTAAAATCTCCACAGTTTTGGATATTTAGTTGTATCTCTTTTGCACATTTGTACTTATATTTATATGAATATTTCCTGTGCCGTAAATTAATTATCAAATAAAATATGTATTTGTTTATCAAAACCTTTAATAGCAACACCATTTATGACGCTAATAAACATTTATATCTGGCTCTTGAGGGCTCTGAGGTGAAGTGTACTTCTTGCGCCAAATACATCAAAAGTAAATAAAAAAAATTATATTAAAGGTCCCATGTCATGGCCATTTCTACTGATCATAATTCCATTGTTGAGGATAGTGCTACTAGAATAGATTTACATTGTGCAATTTTCCAAACTCACATTGGTTTATCATACAGCATCTCTGTATAGTATGTGTAATCACTCTCAGCGAAACCCAGCCCGAACACACACCCGCAGCCTGGCTGGGAGTTTGTGTGTGTGCTCACACACCGACTCACAGCCTCGCCGCGTCCCGCCGTCTCAGGGAGGAGAAATCGGCGGAGCTGCAGCTGTGAGAAAAGATTGAGTGTGTGTGAGGAAGTCCGCGGATTGGCCCATTTGGACCAATCCACGGGCTTAACGTAACGGCTTCACGGATTGGTCCATTTGGGTATGGACACTTCACTGTACCCAGGAAGAAAAAGAGAAATGTCCAACGAGGCGTTCTGGGGCAGCATAGACAGGTATTTTCTGTATTAAAGTTGTACTCGCTACAGGGTGTACTTTGAGGGTTTGTGACTTTGCAGACCGTTTACATGCAAAAAAAGCTACATAGCACAAGGGGACGGGTAATAACCGGAAAAGCATGACATGGGACCTTTAAAATATGTATTGAAGAGAGAAGAGTCACTGTGTTTCTCCTCGCACTGTCTACAACTTGACACAAAGCTTCCAAATAAAAGGCGGACCGGTCAGACGAAGTGAAATAAAATATTATTGCAAAGATATTGTTAAAGACACATGCACAACTTTCAAAGCAATTGAAAGTACAATTGTTATAAATGTTGTCGTATCCACAGAATACAAGGCTACCAAGCAGAACAACACTGTGTGAAACATGCACAGACACAGAAATTAATAAATATATTAATGTTGGTAAAAAATAAATGTAAAAATACATTAAATGTCTCCTGTTTTATTCTCAACTTATATTTTTGTATTTATACATTTATTAATTTTTTCTAGTGTTTATTTATTCCTGTATTTATTTCCACATTTATTTATTCTTGTATTTATTTCCACATTTATTTATTTATGTTATGATTATATGTCATCTTTAGATTGGGCGGTCTAACGCTCCATACTCGGTTTCTACGGTAACGCTGACGTCATTATCATTAAAACCAAGATGTCGGGAGCACAACATGCATGAGGGACCTGAGGGTTAATGCCTTTAAGTAATGACTCATTAATTCCCATAAACATGCACCCTCCTCTGCACTGCATTAAGTCAGAGGAGCTGCTGTCCCTGTTTCTGCCGCTGGGGGGCAGCAGAGCACCCTGAAGGTGACAGTCACCTGACAGTGGAAAGCACAGTGACCTAAATAACTGCAGTAGGCCTACATCATGTTGACTCTGTCACTATAGTACACACAAACACACACACACACACACACACACACACACACACACACACACACAAACACACACACACAAACATGGAGCAACAGCGTTTGCTAAATCAATGGCTTTTATTTTCTTACTAATACAACAGTGCATATACTGCTATTATTATAGAGCTGCGAAAGCTGTGTTTTATTATCATATGCACAATGGTAACGTCGACATTTAAATTAGATAATTACATACAGGCAAGCAACATCTCAGTCAGGCTTCTACCAACATTGCGTTTATAAAAAACAAGATAAAACAAGTTAAACCAAACGAAAGAGTCAAAACAAAAATAGTGCAAGTTAATAGTAGGGATAGAATATAACATGAATAAAAGACATATCAATTATACGGTACATTTCAGATTAGTCATTTGAATGTAGTAAATCTATACGGATAATTCAAAGTATACATATAAATCCAGATGTGTAAAAGCATTAAAAAAGCACAGTTCTCAAGAGTTCAACATTGTTGTGAGGCAGCATGTAATGTCCCTGAGCTTGGTGGTGCAATAGCTGCCAGACAGCAGAAGAGTTTGTGGGGCGTTTAGGGACACTGATGATAATCCGGTTGGCCCTGTTCCTATACACCACTGGGTGCAGAGGTCCTCTCTGGATGGCAAACTGTCATCAGGACAGCTGCCCATCCTGGAGTAAATGACATCATATCCTGGCCTGTGAACATGTCTCTACCTCTGAGGCTCAAATGTGTCTGCCAACACTCTCTTTGGTTCAGTTGGGAGATTGAATGATACACAGATATCCATCACCCAGTGTATTTCCATGAGTCACTCCCCTAGTCAACATTTACTTTGTTAACAAATTGTAGATCTCTCTATGTAATTATTGTGCTGCGTAAGAGTACACATATAATTGATTGGATTGTTGGATCCCGTGCAGTGTCACTTGATGACCTGGCAGATTTAGTGCACCGTGTAAAAAGTAAGCAAGGATAATCCCCTGACTGTGTTTTGATCTGCTTGATTCTAATCTCTTTATCAATGGCAAAGCATGTTAAAAAGAGCAGGCCTGAGTTTAAGTCATCGTGCTGGTTATCCAGAGCGAGGGACGGAGACAGGAAGCCAAGCGGAGAGTCTGCACGGTTCTAAGTTATCTCATCGGTGAACCTGTTGATCTCACTGAAGTCACACCTTCAATATATGGGGAACACATAGCCAGCCAGTGACATCATCTTTTGTTTTGCTTGGTTGAATTCAAAATAACTATATTCTATTAATAGTAAATGAATAAATTAGCAATATACATGTTTAAACCTGCAATTAGCAAGGCATTCAATGATTTTCCAACTCTAATATACTGCTTGAATTGACCTGTTTACCACCTAGAGACATACACTGTATTTATTATATGTGTACTCTTGTATTACAGTGAAATACTGCCGCTTTTAAGAGAGCTCTCTGGAATTGACACTGAACATATTTTAGCAGAATATATGACATTCTCCCTGCACAAAATAAGCTTCTAAAAGTAGCATGATTAGCATTTGATCATGCAGATGACAGTGTAATGCTACCTAAAGTCATAAGTAGATGTGCTTGTACTGCTGTGAAACTCCTTATTTTTGGTTGTAAACCCTTAAAGAATGGACTAAAACATTTGTTGTGTTTGTTCCAAAAATCTTTCTTTATTTCATGCGGAGGTTTATGAAAAATTCCTGGACTTGACATGACAAAATATGCATGTAATTTGAAACACACAACACCATTAGATGTTTGCTTTCTGTTACATTATACTACAGACAGTTGCAGACAAGCTTTCCAACCAGCAGCAACATCCAATCATTTCATTATCATCTATTCTGTGATACTTCAAATATCCCCAGAATGTAAAATGTCCATGAACATTTGAAGCACTTAATGTTTTTTGTAAGCCCCGATCACAGCTGTGATAACCTGCCAATAGAGACCAACGTCAGGCTGATGGCAGCCAGCCGTGGTGACGTCCGCGGAGAGATTAGCTCACCTGCTGATTCATATTCAGATTCAGAGATGGTAATCAAATCCCTGCGTTTGTCACCTGAGGGTACGAACGCTTAACCCTGCATCTGCTTCATGACAAACAGCCGACCCTGGGAGAGCTGCAGCGTGGAGAGAGACAGTGTGATTTGTCACTTCCAGTTGGTGATTATAAGTGAAACTAAAACAAAAAAAGGTTTTTCCCCTGTCCATATCTTGTGGTCATAAATCACACTTCAGGGAATAACTCAACACGCTCAAAGTGTGACTTGAAAGCCAGATAAATTCCCAGGCTGTAACCGGTTTTGCACCTTTTTATGTTTGCCTTCTCACAACGGCTGACATAAGGTGTGTGTGTGTGTGTGTGTGTGTGTGTGTGTGTGTGTGTGTGTGTGTGTGTGTGTGTGTGAATGTGTGTGAGCCAGCACATGTGTATGACCAATGGGAGTCATTTGAGAAAACACCTGAGTGTCCACTGAGTGTGCTTCATGGGCCTAACATTCCTGAATTAACCAGCTGATCCTCAAGTAAAACATCAGAATACCTTTTGATTTCCTGTATGAGGTACATGGGTCAATATTGGCACTGTGGTTAATCTTATCATTGCCATCATAAGGAGGAAAAGGTGAACATCCATTGTGTGCCATTGGTGTTAATCACCTGTTTAATAATATATTAACCTGGATAAAGTATGTTTTAGCTCATGTGTATACATTACAGGGGTTTCTAATTGGCCACACCTTCAATAAAACAGTAGCACCTGCAGGAAAGTGCTATTGTGTAACTTATTTGGACTACTTACTGTCATAACAAAATATGTGTTAATAGCAGCGTAAGCAGGACTTTGTTCCAGTGTCATAATATGCAGTAAGTTATTCTGCGTTCACATAAAAGAGTTTGTTTGATCGGTTTATTTATATAGTTTTAATTATATATTCTGGAGTGAATGTGAGAACTGCTGTCAAAGTCCACATTGCAGCTATTGCTTTATGTTTTTTTGCCATGCAAATAGCTTTGCATGACCATAGTTACATTTTGACAGTAGCTGTACTTTGCATACAACAACAACAACAACGTTTACATATAATAAACCAGAATGAAAGTGGTTTACATACAGTATGTATACTGATTGACAATACAATACAATAGCTAATATACTATGCTACACTACTTAGCAGGATGCTAAAAAAAAGTATATTAAAGAAAAACTACTATTGAATGAGCATATACATAGTATATCTATATTAACATTGTTATACTAGGATACAAATATATGAATATCTAATATATTTAGATTTCAGTCCTGGTTGATTTAGAGTTTACATTTCAGCAATGTAGAGTCTTCTTATTGATACATAGTGTATTACATGATCCAAAAACATGAGTATTATAACTGTAGTCCATGTTTTGTTTGTATACAATGGAGAAAAACTGTAACACGTTTTTAGTTTTTTTTCTAAAAACATATACATTGAACATATTATATTCCTCCTAATTCAATTTAATGAACCTTAGTAAACATATAAACTGATGTACTGTTATTATTAAAGCAACATTTACCGCTTTTTGACACCACTGATTTAAAAACACACAGAACGCACCACAGCACACCATTGGCCACCCCCTCTCTGCCTCGCGCTGCTCTCTCGTGCTCTACGTCTTCGCACTGAAGAGGCGTAGCTCGTGCTGTCTGCTCATTGTGCGACTACTGCGAGAGAAATTTCCGCTTCCTGCACCGATAAACACCCCCTACCAGCAGCACCAAGTTGGGACAGCGAGAGGACACACGGACGCGCGGATTTTACCGCCTGCTTTTGGGTTTAAACGGTTTAAACCCCCCCCTACGACTGCCATGTTTTCACTATTAAGCGGTGAATAGCACCAAACGGTTGAAAACTATCCGTTTCTACGTGACACGGAGCGTTTTACGCATTACGGGGACAAAATAAGCCAAACATAAAAAGGACAACACACACAGAGAAGAAAGGTTACTACGGGTATTCCTCTTCTTCTTAGCCCCGACTTGAAAGCTTTCTTTCAGCCTCCAGGATGTCGGAGCGAGGAGGGCTCCCGCGGACTGGGGGCGTCCCTTCGCCCCACATGCAGCCCTCCAAACCGGTCAGCATCACCTCCAACCGGCCGGTCCACATGAACCTATACGCTACCTGGGAGGTGGACCGGTCCTCACCCAGCTGTGTGCCGAGGTATGTGAAGGGAGGGGGGGGAATACAAAGCATAAATTCACATTTGTGTGGGGAATGTCCCCAGTTTGTGTGTTTATTCTGGGGAATTTCAAATATTCATGGGTGCCTATGCTAGAAGTGATCAGAATCAGGTTTAGTGGACAAGTAGGTTTACACATACGAGTGCTTTGGTGTACAAGAAAGGAGCAAAAAGAGCTATTTGAAAGACTATTGTAAAACAAGACAATATTTGCACAAAATATAAATATGTGAGAAACTGAGTACAGTCAAATATGACAACTATATTCATGTGCAGAGCAGAAATGTGCAACATATTCAACGGGTTGATATTCAAAGGGTTGTGCAGGATTTACAGTATTAAAAATAACAAGATATTGTTCGCATGAATGTTATGGGAGCCTTTTTCAAAACCTCGTATTCAAGGCTTGTATTGGTCACACGTGCATAGCTACAGGAGTGTTGGTGATTACATTAAAAGCCTATATCACAAAGTATTTGCTGTAATTATGATATTTACTGTTATCTTCCCCTGATTGTAACCTTTGTAGACCCTAGTTGAATACCACACAAACCCATTACCCAGTAGCTTTACAACCCTAATGTTAAAGCACACACAGCCATGCCCCCCTGGTTATCATTTGCTCATAAGTCCTGTGTGTGTTGGGGCAGCTGCAGCCTTTCCCCAGCAGATACCCTCAGCTGTTGCCCACCGGATCAATTGCAGACACTAAAGATTTGATGAAGCATTAGGTTTCTGGCTGCAACTACAGAAGGGCATATTGTTCCCATGCAGCAATCACAAGGAGAGGAGAGATGTTGCATGCATCATTGTTGTTGATGTATTATTTTTCTTGATGATGAAATGAAAGTTGTGTGTGTGACAATGCAGCAAGGTCACCGTGGACGAGACACCTTATCCACCTCGGCGCAGTCTCAGACAAAGGCATTCTAGTCGGCTTCTTTGTTTGACTGAAAGGCTCGACAAGCAGCCTGGCATGTACTGTGTGTCACGCTGCTGACAGAAGCAGAAGCACTGGCTCTGTGCTAGTTTCCTCTGCATGGAAAGACACATTGAAAAGGATAGTCCATATATTTTCTCCAGTGGACGTCTTTTTATGATGCTGTGGTCTTGAGTAACATTCAAGGTCAAGGGTTAACCGCTGTGAAGTGCACCCGATGTGATTCACAACTAAGCATACGTTGTGAGATATGATCGAACCGAAAAAATGTCAATAATTTATTTGTATCTGTTACGCTGGCAAATCCAGTCATTTCTATTTAACCTGTCAAAACCAAGCGTTGAAATCTGTAACTGATGCACGTTTCCCTTGATACTGTGTTGTTTCGTTCCTCGTCAGAAGACCGAAAGGCATCCTTCGAGGTTTCTCAAAGCAATTAGTGGGAATAAAGCACGCTGGTAAAAGCCTCGTACCGAGCTCACATGCTGGCGTCTTAATGCTGCTTCTAAAAAGCTTTGGGGCTTTACTGGGCTGGAAGGAAAGCCTCAGCGGTATGTTTTGCCCCTTAACATTTTGTGTGTGCGCACCATACGCTTGTGAATAAATGATGCAGTCCTGGATCTATATTTTGGAACGGTGAATCCTTCGTTAGCCTAAACAACTTTTCCTCCTGACCTTTCTTTCTTTCGAGATGAGATTATTACCTTGTTTGCGAATTCGTACAGAATAATGCCTTGTGCTTTAAAAATGCGATTGTAGACGTTTTTTGGAGCTTTTTTTGATGTCGCCACGGTCCGTCAAATATCTTCGATGTCACTGCAGTTGCAGCAACAGAGAGCCAGAAACAGGGGGGGGGGGAGACAGAGGATGAGAGTGGGAGATGAGAGAAGAAGTGGCGGCTCTGTCATCTATATTTAAATAGGATTCCTCACATCCACAAGCAGCAGGAACGTCTCCAGAAAACTCATCAGTGGCAAGAACCTGTACAATGAAAGTCACTACAATGATGTTTTGCAGTCGGCTGAATGTAGCTTGTTGTTGCTCAGTATATTTTGCTGCAAGATGGGCTTCGAACTTTCCCCCCTTGTAGCAGAGGTGTTGTTGCAATAACCTCTTCCTGTCTACCCACAATGCCACTTGGTATGCTGTTTATGCAGTGCTGTGGGTTGAATTTGCCCAGGCAGGCGCAAACACGCATTTAGAGGAACAGGAAAAATACTGCTCGTATCTTATCGTAGATTGTTTGTTTGTTTTGTGCTCGTATTCAGGGGGGGGGGGAACAGGACATAGTCAACAGTGTGAGAGGATATCAATACTCGAATGCACTTTCTTATGGTTTTTGAGTGCATTATGAAATCAGCTCCTCATCACCATCAACACAGCCTGAGGTCATTTGTGTGTTCCTGATTGTTTTATTGTTTACTAGGGAGGGATACATTAATTTTACTCTCTACTAATTCAGTGTGGTGCTCTCTCTGCAGTGTCCTCAACGCACACATATAAACAGGTGCTTGGCATGATTCCCTCTGTGTGGTTCATTGGTTCTCCACCCTAACCTCGGGGGGCGAAACCTTCATTTTCCACAGCCAAGTTATTCCACTTATGAGTACAGTAGCTCTCGGCTCACATCACTCACAGATGCCAGTGTTCACACCACAAACTAGGGCTGCTCGATTATGGCAAAAATCATAATCTCGATTATTTGGGTCAATAATTGAGATCACGATTATTAAAAACGATTATCCATTTACTTTGAAAACATCAATTTATTGAAAAAAAAATGTGTAGTATGTTTTTAACAGTTGATTACCCTGAACTTTAAGTTTAATTCAACTGAAAAACCAATTAAAACAATTATACTTTTTTATTTATTTTTTAATAAATAATAATAATTTAAAAAATCGTTTTATTTCGATTATGTTGTTTTCATAATCGTTGCAAGTCAAAATCGTAATTGCCATTAAAATACGATTTTAAATTGAGCAGCCCTACCACAAACCGTTTTGGTTTCCCTGAGTTGCGTTAAAGCCTCCTTGTGCTGCTACTCTGCGTCAGGTATTCCAGGAATGGGCCCTGTCGCAGAGCTCCTCGCCTTGCATTATTAAAGCAGGTCTCCTAAAGGGGGGGAGGTCCCATGACTCAGCTACTCACATGGATGCTGAGGCTGTGCTTCAATGTGGCTTCCAAGCCACAAGAGAATAGGGAGTGTCTTCCCACACATCTATAGGAAGGGTTGTGGAAACAAAGAGAACAGTTGGAATAGGAATTTATAAGTTCTTATTGATACCAATGCAGTATCGATTCTGGCTTATAGGTCTGATTCTTTACCGTGTGGAAAAACAAAAGTAGGCCTACACAGGTTTTCAGTGTCAATATCTATTTCACTATTTCTCTAACTGAGCACATGTGTATTGTATTGCACATGTGTATTGCCATTAAAACATGTTAAAAGAAACGACAAACATCACAAGTGTTATTCATCCTTCTTGGGGAAATGAAACCTTCCCTGCTCCGTGACTGTTCTTTGTTGCTATCTTACAGCAGCACGAACACAGATTTGGACGTCATGACGCACTACTTTTTGCATGAGCAACTGTCAGAAAAACAGGCCGCATCAATAAAAGGAATTGATGTACCCGGAGGCAATCATTTCAGATAGATCGGACGATTCGTCACAGGTTCTCAACTGAAACCACTTCTTGATTCGGCTCCCTAGAGAGGAGGCAAGGCTTAATCTTTTTGACTTTTGACCTCTTGTAAAATGAAGCTTTGTCTACTTGTAACTAAAGAATGGCTTCACACAGCCTACTCTCCTTCCTAAGTAAGACAAACAAAAGGAAAAACAACAAGTATCCCTCTGTTTTGACTTTGGCAAATCCAGGCTTTGAGTTTCTCAAAGCTTCTAGTCTTTGTGCCAAAATAATCGTATCGTCCGTTTCTTCAAGAATCTTCGAAACTGAATGCTTTTACTCGGAGAGGCTCACGATCCTTCAACATCTTAATAGATCAGTGGTTATGTCAAGACACAGATAAAATGATGGGACAAACATGTGTATTTTTGAAAGGCTTCTACTTTTAGCTCTTGTGAAACCCTCCTTTATTTTTGCTTTCATGCCTCAAAGCTAAATCTCTCTGGAAATTGCAAGTTGTGGTTGCATCAAAAAATAAATTGTGATTTCAAATATTTGAGCATCCATAATAAGCACATTAGTAATCTTCATATAGTCATGCCAGCTTCTTCCACAAGGACACACATCTTGTAACACACGGTTAGGACATGTTTATTTGTAATGAAAACAGCAGAGCATTAAAAATAAATGCTCATCTCCTGGGCTAGTAATGAATACTGTTGGCGTGTAGAAGCGCGGTGCAGGAATGCAGGATGTTCTGAATTATACATTGTGCATGTGTTAGGCCCGTTTGCTATAATTACCCTGCAACACAATAGTGGGACGATACTTGTTCTTCGAGTGTCAGCATCACATTATCCAGCCTGCCCCCCCCCCCCCTCAACCTGCTACTGAACACACAAATGGAAAGAAAGGGAGATATGGCCAACAGGGTATCGTGTACATGCAGAGCGGGTAGCAGTAGTGGTGTTTGTTATGGAGCTTTGCCACTTTCCTTGGCGCTGCTCGCTGTTCTGCACAACTGACCAGCCGAGAGGACGGGAGTTTCCTCCGAGGCTCAACTCGCCTCCTGGAGATGGAGATGAGAGCGTAAAGCAAAACGCCTCCTCACGAGTATTCACTATTTTCGTTAGAAAGCCTCAGGGGGATATAATGACATGCATGACCATTATAGCCTTTAATGATTCTGTTGTTGAAAAGGGGCAAATGACCATTATGTTTGACTGATTTAGCTGTTGCGTTCAAAACAAATGTCCTTTTATCATGAGAACATCTATTTAAATGATCATAATGTCATTTATTCCGCACCAAACAGACGTTTCCACTATAACTCTTCATTCAGATTGATGTTTTGATACATTTGCTTCACCAAATATTGCACCGAATGCTGGATTTTGCACTATAATGCAAT